CAAAGGACATGGTGTGAAGGAAAGTAAACGTTCAGGGCTATGAAGGCAGAGACATGGCCGTGGGTGCTGTGTTGTGAGGAATAACGTGCACAGTGAAGGGTAAACGCACGCTTCTTTGGAGATCCTGGACCGGAAAGGAAGCCTGGGGGAGCTCAAGGGCTCGTGGGGTACGGGCTGTATTCAACCTTTCTCTGCAGCCCCACACACACACACACACACACACACACACACACACCACAACAACAAGGAGCGGTGGCACTCTTACAGTACGCCGTGACGTACTGACACATTTGAAAAGTAAATGAGGGACTAAATTGCACAAAGGCAAAAGGAAAACATTAAAAATTCCCAAAGCTGTGTTTTTAGAGCGATGCAAGATGTGAAGCAATTCATGTATTTTCATATGCCAAAAAAATATCAATTACCTGCCAATGATTTATATATATATATATAGTCTATAAACAGTGTATTGTCACTTTAACAGGGAGTGTGTTCACAGTGTTCCCAATATCTACAACACAACTGACAAAATATCAAATAAGCAAGTATATTATCTATTTTCTGAAATCACAAATTTAATTTGTAGTAGAACAAACATTTTAATTAGCTGACATGAGCTCAGCCACGGGTAAATCTAAAGTGATTATTCCTGCCCTCAGAGAAAGGCTGTCTCCCTGCGCTCTGTCAAAAGGTCAATTATGGCCCCAAACCAGCATGCAGTGACAGTGACCTGGAAGCGCTACTGATGACCCCACATCCAGGGGCCCAAAAGAGTTGATCATCTAACATGCAGGCCGCCCCGAGCCATGGAAATCTGACATTTGTCCTTATTCAAATGAACACAAACAATATGCATCTCATGCCTCTCCCTAACCTGTGCCAAATCTAAAGGCACACGGAACCAGCGGTCTTAATGCATTGTCCTCCCATCCAAGTTCATGCCCTTCCCTGTGAATGCTGCCACACGGCAATCACCCACGGAGCCTGCAGGAGGAGCGGCCTGCAAAAAGGCTCCATCGTCACCAGCATCTGCGCTAACACCGGCCGTCATCGTTCCCGTCTACGGGGGTCACGCAATGGACTGGGGGTCAGTCACGGAAGGCAAACGAAAGTTTTGTGTACTGGATTGATGTTTTGTTTGTTGGCATTTCTCATGTTGAAACAGTATTATTGCTCATGCTGCTCCGTGTCTGCTGGTTGGGCGAATAGAAAGCTGCAGAGATAATGCACAGACAATGTTGGGCTATAAACAACCTTCACCACGGTCACATGAGGCCGAGTATCACTCAAACAAGCATTTAGCCACTTGTTAGCCACCGCTGGTGCTATTCCTTATTTTCCGTACTGTCAACATGTCGATCATAGTGAAGGACACCTGACTGATATGATCTTACTAGTTTTGGAGAATAATGGGTTCTATGGTACAAAGGGATTCAATTTTGACTGGACAAACAAATATTTCCAAGCACTCAGGTCTGTCTTGATGATGGTCTTCTCTTTGAATGTGTTGTTGACAAAACATATCTAAAATATTACTACGCAAATCCTTCAAGTTTTGCTCAATATATGACAAATATCCATAATGCACCTGTGCCTTCATGCCAAAGCCAATATAAGCCCGTTTACTGCTACACTGGGGGGAAAAGCTTTGCAAGAACACCTCTATAAGAAGGTTATTGCCGTAGCACCGGTGTATACACAGTAAATTCTTACTGAATGGCACTTGCCTGAAGCAACACCTACCATAGTAAATGCTTATCCATGTGGACTTCCCATCTCATGCTGTTTTGTCTGTGTGTGCAGAAGGTAGCGGCCCGGGCTGGAACTGTATGACACAGAGCCAGGGCTCTCATGTCTGCAGGGCGTTCCACAGAGCATGATCATGAAAAGCAGAAACATGAAGAAAACTGCAAAAGGTTGAGCCATGGAAACGTCTTTCTTCTTCACGTCAGTTAATTTCCCCTTTTTCCCTTTGGTTCCACATCACTTTTCTATTATGTTTTGAACACTGTGAAAACATAATACAAATCATGCTGCTGGAAACCAAAAAAAAAAAAAATCTAATCATTACGCCCTCAAATGAAAAAATGGATACCAGTGAAAAATGTAAGGGAATTGTTATTTTTCACATTCTAATTCACATCACAAGGAACCGAAAAGAAACGCATGCTGTATATCAGATTGGTTTGGTGCCTTTTGCCCCGAGCCACGCGGTACACACTGATATTAGTTTTAAATACAGATTGCCGGCAATAACAAAACAGAGGAGTCCATGCCGGCCACATGGGCTCCGGTGTGGAGTCCCTCGCGTTGCCGGCTGGCCGGGACAGCTTCAATCAAAAAGCTCAAATAAATGTACTTCTTTGGGCTCTGTCGACTGTAAACTGTTATTGATCCCGACAAATGAAATTTGTTCACGTTGATCGATCAAACACATTATCTGTGTTTTCCAGTCTATTACCAGCAAGTGGAAACTCAGGAGGCATCAATAAATAGAGCCGGGTCACCGGCGGGTAGATTCCGTACACGCTAGAAGGGCTGTAAAAAAAAAATGTTTTTTTAAAAAAAAACAGGCGACCGCACATAAGCACTTGTGCTTAAAGGTAATGGACCTGCATCCTGACCAAACGCTAAGTGCCCGCGGTGTCTAGATGGGGAAAGCACCGCCGCTGCACCTTCAAGGTCTACAGACACTTGTGTGTGTACTGTATACTTGCCCTCCTCCTTCTTCTGCCCTTGCTAATCCCCCCTCACCCACCCATCCCCTCCACCTTCGTACACGTGAAAGCCTTCCAGCTGGCACCCAGCGCCGGAATTTGGCAGGTTGGGAGGAACATGAGAATTGAACCTATATCTCCCCAGCTACCAGTTCTCAAATATCAGTGGAGTCCAGCCCTTCATCGGGGACTGACGGGAGGAGAGCCTGAACAAAAAAAAGCTCCTCCTGGCACCGCTCCTCCCGTCTGTGCCCGCCGCTATCACAGGGGTCACGTTGCCATGAGGAAGTAGCTACAAATGATCACATATGAGGGAGGGGGTCTATCGGAGGGATGCATCCGCGCTTCGATTAGTGTGTTTCTGGAGCCAAAAATGTATCGGCTTTTCCACACAATTGTAAAGTTCTCAACTGTGACCAAGACGGAGGCAAAGAAGCAGATGTACGCTGTTGCCAGTTTTATTATTAGGTGCACTTAACCAAAAGTGATGCAACAAATCCTACCTCCATGAAGGTTATGAAGTTTCTTTGTTGGAACCGTTTTGATTGGCATTGATTCATTTTGGAGGTTGTACTTTGGGTGAAATTGCACTGCAATCAACCCCAATTGATATAAGTGTAGTAGCCACTTTTTAATACGAGACAAATCAAATTTTTGGTAACTAAATGTGAGATGCAAGGTGTGTTTCTTTGGGAAATATCTGATGAAAAATGCTTTTTAATCCTCAAATTGACAATAAAACAACAGACGGGGCATAAAGGTTTGTATCTGATCAGGAGAGTTATGTCAGGCAATTTAGTTCAATCGTAAAACAGCTATTTCATGTAGAAAACCACTATAGAAACGTGCATTCTTTCCAAGTTGTTCCAACTTTATGGTCCTCGGCTGAACCACTAAAGCCACCTTTTGCATTTCCTCCGACTAACAGGAGTGACAGCTTGTCCACAAACTAAAAGGCGTCCTTACTAGAATTGGAATAACTGCCCCTCTACAGCGCCGATAGCTCCTTTATTATGGAAAATTATTTTAAACAGCATAAAACGTCAGAGGCACATTTTTGCCATGTTTCTGCCACTATCACTCCAGCTATTGATAAGATGTCTAAATTTATTGCAGAATAATTCTGCAGGAAAAGAGATAAAAGGTTGCTGAATAAAATATGAGGCGAAGGCTGTAAATTGTAGCAATGCATATCATTTCATTCAAATGTAGGACGCAATTACCATCTGCTACACTCATCAGTCCCCTCCTTTATGACTTAATTATATGTTTAATGCTATCAGATCAAGGAAAGGGCAAAACAGATGAATGAGGGAGAAAAAGAAAAGATTCCGCAACAAGACAAAAGGCAGATTAAAAGTAACATAAAGGGATGGAATTGATTTCATTTACCGGGAAATAGAAAAAGTTAATTTAGATACAATGTTCCCTCATCTCCTGTGCCTTTGTAAGATAATACACGCAGTGTGTTGCCATTAGGTCTCATACCCGGCAAACAAAAGAAGTCAAGTTCCTCAAAACCTGGAAGTCTGGAAAGAAACCCATTCATTTTTTTTTAGAAGAGCAAGCAAATTGGCGAATCGCTCAAACTGTTCCGTCCATGACATCAACGCGTTATCTTCATAAAACTTAAGGTTCAGCAGGGGCCAGTCACAGGAGGCAACAACATCTAATTGTGTCGCGTTGGGGCACAATGAAACTCCACAGCACTGAAACTTTTGGTGGGGATGCAAATGGTGTACGGCAGTGTTCTCAAAGAAAACCGGGGTTGTCCAAATGGCTGTGGGGTAAAAAGCCAGCCAGTGGGCATCCCAGGTGCCAGCGGGCACCGTCCTAACTGTGTACCTTTGGCCAGAACTCATTATAGGGTGACATTTAGGACTGCTGCTGTCCATGCCAAGTCAGCCCTCTGGATTGAGACAAATTATGTAGTTATTTTTTATGTCAGACATTAAGTCACGTGCAGTGGGAGCCAAATCAGTATCACCTCCGTGTCACCCGGGGAAAGAAATTGATAAAGGCTCCTCAAACTGCTCGAACAGGGGCGTTGTTCAACTTTTTGGGTCAAACATTTGGTCTCACGAAAACATGATTGAATTTCATTTTGATCCGTAGTGCAGATGCTTCAACAGTTGTATTAAATATTTGATCATGAGCTAAGATATTATCCTCTAATTTACTTATTCTCTAAATCACAGTCGTGTTCGGTTTGACTTATCGCTGTTCTCTTTCTGTGGACCCTAGAAAAGCAAAGATCGTGGTGACATGGAGGGGATCTTCTACCTGTACGCTGCTGCAGGAGGTGCAGTGGGTTGCGTTGCTCTGCGGCGACCATTTCTTTCAAGCCTGAGGAAAAACACAAAAAGAGCAGATCTAATGAATAGCTTAGAATTTAGACTTAAAAACGTTACTAAAGCCACACATTTATACAAGTAATACCTGACTTAAATCTATACGCTGTGATATAAAACAATGCGCCTACTCCAATGTCACGACCATGATTTTTTTTTTTAATGATTTACACACATTTTTAAAATCCATTCAGACAAATAATATTTCAAGTTGCGCGCGTCAATACTACACAAGCTTATTTTTCCCAATTCGCGGATATATTGCAGTGGGAATAAAGCAACATGAGTTGTTGTTGCAGATTCCTCCATGAAGCCAAATGAGCGTCATCCCACCAGGGAGTGCACAACATGAACAGAACCAAAGCTCCATCTTGTGGACTAAATCGAGTACAACAGAACGGGCCGCCGCAGCTTCCGAAGCTTTTCCATCTACCAGGTTCGGGAGCAGATTCCATTGAGCACCCGAAAGGATGAAATATGTGAAAGGTGATATGAAAGAACGAAAACGCAGGCGCTAATTACGTGTGTGAGAGTACAATTACACAGTATCTGTTTGAGAAAGTGTCAAACAACAGGCAGGGAGGCGATGAATAACATATTTTATGGTTCTCTCATCTAGTGGGAGATGCATTTTTGCTTTGAGGATTCCAATAATTCATCAAACAGAGGATATAAGAAGCCAAACAGAACAATTAAATGAGCAGTCGGCACAAGCTTGCAGGTATCTCACTAAGCATGAAATGAATCAAAGTTGTTTATGTGCTTTGTATTAGTGGGGACATTATAGATAATTGCTAATTTGATATATTCCAAATAAAGCATTCATACAATGCGCATGCTGCGATATCATCCATACAAACTTCAGGATAAAACAAACAGAAAAAAAGATGTGTGTAATTGATTATAAGTTAATTGTGCAAAGGTCTCGCTGATGGAAACCATCTGTCAAAACAAGCTGTACGTTCACTAATTCTAATCCTAATTAATTAAACTGCTAACAAATGACATACATCATAGTTAGCACAGGGGGGGAAACTACCGCAGGAACTGTTATGAAACAAATTATCTTTAACAATGGGAGAAAATTACATCACATAACTAAATATTATTGTCGTTTCCGCGAGCCATATTTCTTAATGAATTCTCTAATTAATTTAATTCACACAATGTGCATAATTTGGAGCTGAAAATGTCAGTGGGTCAGATTTAACCATATTGATGCTGGCTGTCTATTTCAACGAGTGCCATATTAGCACAACATGACCTCTATGTAAATGACACACACACCAACTGTTGTCATTTTAATTCCAGGGTCTAATTAACATGTTCTAAAGATATCATACAAGTACATTTAGCTCATTTTACACATGCCAGTGTCAATGCCAGTTCTCCATTTGCCCTAATTTTATGTAATGGCCTTTAACGGGAAATGGCATAATGGCTCATGTTACAGACGGAGATTATGACAAAAAGTTTTGTTTTTTTAATGTTTTTTCGATATTAAGTGCTGAAGTTTCTTGTCAGGAGCTGTCAGCATTTACCGATTACCAATTATGTCAATTATAAGAGTAGTCTAGCCACCTCTTTTCTTATGCTCATCCTCATCACTCCACGCTGCTGAGAAATAAGAACCCCCCCAATGATCCCTATGGTATATTAATGATCTTTTGGGGGGGGATTATTCTTCACTTGGTCCTTTTCTCTTAAGAAATGTACGTTATCTAGAACCTTGTGAGTAAGAGAGTCACGTCGTTTTACTCCACCTAATGCTACGAACAAAATCCTGTGCAATCTTTTGCCTGCGATCGACTTCCACCGCTGAATCCTTCCGTCTGTGTCTTCTCCACAAGCCGTGCCCGTCCAGCAGTTTAGAGAAAAATCCAATCCAATTTACCAAATGATGCCATCATGAGTGTGAATGCAGAAATGGATGAATAAATGAATAAATTGCCCAGTGGATGGAACATATAAGCGAACACATGCATTGCAGGGCCCGGGGGCTGTCCCGAGGCCAATCATTTAGCTAACACACTAATGAAAGCGTGTGTAGTGTGGCTAAGGGCAGCCACCATGGGAGGCACCGCTCCCCTCCCTCCTCATGTCGCCGAGCGTTAATAGGCGGGATGGAGCCAACGGAACTCCCAGGAGAGGCGATGCTGATGAAGAGGAAAACCTGTCGTCCCCTCCGCTAATCACCGCCTAACGGCTGCGGCGACGCCGGTCTTACAAATGGGGCCGTGCAGGTGTGCTCACGCACATCTGCAGGTTGTGCGTGAGAAGCACCGGCGTTTTAAGGTATTGCTAAATGAATAGAATAGAATGTTCTTTGCCTACTGTGCTGTGCTTGTTCACGTGCATATTTGGCTGCCAACTCGTTCGGGGAGCTTAAATAAGCACAACACGTACAGCGTGTGTCGTTTGTGTTGTTTGTTTAGTTTCATATCGTTGAAGGTCTGAATCACTGTCAAACCGCGTGACGTGTCTGAATACAGCGGTGGTAACATCACCTCAGAGGCAAATCAATCAGAGCTACAACAATAAGCCGATTAATCGATTGGTCGATCAACAGAAATGTAATCAGCAACCGATTGTTGTTCTTTAACTTCCAGCTTCTCAGATTTGCTGCTTTTGTCTGTTTTAGTAGTACTGTACATGTAGGCATTTCACATTGAAATGTTGACATGCTTTTTATAATTTTGTGGACTAAACAAGTAGGTTAATGAGTTAGCCAAGACAATTAACAGCAGAAGAAACATTGACAATAATCCTTAGTTGCAGTCCAAAATAAATAGTCTCTTCTGTTTACAGTGGGCCTTATATGTATCAACCAAGTAGACCTAACGCTTATTATGGCCACTAAAGGAAAAAGCCCTAATTCAGATTTTTCATAGGGCATTTCACATAAACTCTCAATATTACAAAATATATATATTTTTTAAATACATTAGAGAGCTGATAAGTCATGATGTCAAATAGCATTACTATTATTAATGCTTATTATAAACTCCCTGGGCCAAATGATTATTCACTTCAGCTTAACGTTTAGCAAAGACTAAAGAATGCCTTTCACATTCTCATCACTATTGTGAAGCTTACACGTTTTATTATTGTATGACGTCCATGCCAACAGCACACAAAGACTCCTGATTAGTAATAGCAGTGTATCAAGTTATGCCACACGTGAAAGGCGTGTCGCCTTTATTGCAGGTCTGACGTGATTAATATGTCAAAGTTTTTAGTCAAACTAGACATTCAGCCTTTGTGTAGTTTGCTGGATGACGTCGACTCTATTGACTCGTGGCTATACCTTTTTGGAGGTAAACATCAAGCTGTAAAACTTTGAGAAATCCCCTTCCGGTTGAGACCTACAGAATAAAGTTTTAATAGTAAAGATTTGTTTGTAATAATTGAGCTTTCCACTGTAGGGGTCCGTTTTGGGAGACGTTTCCCATCTCAGGGTAAATCAACTCAGAGTTCAGGGTTTGACTCAGAGTTTGTTAAACCTCCTATTTGAAACGGACCCCAGGTCTTCAACAGCGGGTGACAAAAAAAATAAAAATCAAGATAAATTATTTCATCTTTCTACATCGTATGCTCTACCGTACACATATGGGAGATTAAACTTTTTATTATTTTCAACATGAGGTGAGAAATGCGTCATGTCTAACCGCATGCTTCAAAGACATATGGGGGAGGCATTTCATCAGAAATGCAAACACAACTTGTGACTTGTTCAACAATGCCAGTGCAGCTCACACGACCGGCCGCTCCAGCAGTTTAGCGTGCTCATTTGGGCAACTGGAACACAAGACGTTATTGTCTTCGACAAAATGTCAACTGAAACTTCTCCATATTTTCTTGATGGTGTTAGTACATTTGAAATTAAAATGAAACCGTTCAGCCGGTCTGTCTCAGAAACAGCTATTGACTCAGTTTTGACTCATGGTCCACGTTTGCAGGCCACACCTTTGTGAACGCAAGGTCCACATGTAATCAGCCGAATGATTTCTGATGAAAAAAACATGGTTTGGGGCCTGGGTCGAGAATCCTACCTCTTTATTGACTGACTTATCAAATCTGTACTTTAATGTGCATGTTAATTCCTATAGAATTATGAAACAATACAACATCTGGATTTACATTGCGGATTGGATTGTTCAAAAGCTGCTTTCCAACCCCAAATTAGTATTGGAAAGGGAGCACTGATGTGTGTGTTATTTATGTATTCATTATGTGCATTTTTTGGTGTCCCTTGCCAACCGTTTCTGTTGAGCGCTTTATTTTGAAGGCAACACACATCCCACTTCCTGTACCCTTGTAGCTAGCTCTGGCTAGCTTGCTGTTAGCTCCGCGCAGTGGGACGACTCTTTCCTGCCAGTCCGTCCAATCAGAGTTTAGTGACAGAGTGGAAGTTGGTCGCTATGTCCCCATACAAAAAAGAACCCTGGTCAAGTCAAAGTTGTGGCATGAAGATTCAGCGACGAAACCGACAACTTCAGCTAAGTTTCTGCTAGCTAACGCTAAGACGTTTTTGTTTTTTTTACGATACAAAAAAAAAAACGGTCCCGTTTTTGATGTTCCGCGGCTGTTGGAGGTGACCCGGGCGAGGGGGGCCACACGGTGAAATAACATGCCGTCGTACCTTGGTGTCGGGCTCGACTGTGGGTGTCACACGCTGCCGTGTTCCTGACCCGAAGACACGGACTGCAGCTCCGGGAGGCATTTCCAGCCTGCCACGCAGGCAGTTAACAACTCCCCCAAAGGAAAAGTAAACTTTGCCTACAACTTACATTTAAACCCCGCGCTGCGACACTTTGACACTTTGTTATTTTGTCACCTGGAAAGTTGTTTTTTTGAGAGAGAGCGAAAATGATGAAGGCCAGGAGATACTTGAGAGGAAGTGGACGGGTTCTCGTCTTCGTCTTCGTCGCCTCCGTCGTTTGGCTCCTGTTTGACATGGCCGCCCTGCGCCTGTCGATGAACGACGTCACCGGCCAGCTGCTGAAGGAGCGCGTGATAAGGGACCAGCGGCTCGTCAGACAGCAGTCCCGCGCGACGCGGGCGGGGAGGCGCGGGTTCAAACACCCGGTGCAGAGGATGGACCCCACCGCCACGCGCGCCCCTAAGGGGCCGCTCGCTTCGCACCTCGAGCTGGCTCCCGTGTACAGAAAGGGGGGCCAGAAAGAGGACAAAAACACCCACTCTCTTCGTCTTCCCCACGTAGACCCCCGACAGGGAGGAGAAGCTGTCCTGCGACATGTCACGCCAAAGCGGGACGTCCCCCCCAAGAAGGAAGCGGTGGATTTGGACGTGAAGGCGATGGAACCACAGAAGAGCGGCCCGGTTAAAGGGACGTTGCCTGTGGCGCGGCCCGTTGATGTCAAGGATGCACCAGTAGTTCTGCACACGAGTGATCCAAAGAGCGACAAAAGAGGCCCGAATGACCCCAAGGTCGAGGCCGGAGCAGACGCGAGCCCGAGAGAAAAAAGGAGACGAGAGGATGCCCACAATAAAACTTTAGAGAAACCCGTTGAGGGGATCGACCATCGGGAGACCCCAAGACCCGCGATTGAGTCCCTAGCAGGACAACCAGGTGTCCACAAGGTGCTCTCCCTGGATCTGACCATCGCTCCCAGGGACGCCCGCGCGGCGGGCCAGTTCGGCCAGCCGGCCCTCGTCGCCAACAACGAAAAGGCCGAGGTGAAGAAGAGATGGGACGAGGGGCACTTCAATGTGTTCCTGAGCGACAGGATCCCGGTGGACCGCGCCGTCCCGGACACCAGGCCCGAGACGTGCGTCTCCCCTCTGCACCCTTTTGACCCTCTCAAAATGCGCTTTTTGACGGATTTTTACTCTTTGTTGTTGTTTTTAATTCCAGGTGTGCACAGAAACTGGTCCACGACGACTTGCCGTCCACCAGCGTGATCTTCTGCTTCGTGGACGAGGTGTGGTCGACGCTCCTGCGCTCGGTGCACAGCGTGCTCAACAGGTCTCCGGCGCACCTCCTCACGGAGATCATTCTGGTGGACGACTTCAGCACCAAAGGTAAAGGACACAACACATCAGACAACACCAGGCGTTTATCATCGGGGGCTGGCTCTGTTCTAGCTTTATTGCTTTAGTTCTTACACAGATCTACTTATTTTAACCCTAGTCAGCTAGATTGTTAGATGTTTATCGAAAATAAGTTATTTGTCACATAAATACCCCAGTTTCTTACTTTGAGAAGGCACACCTGTGTGAGCTTTGATGTAAGTCAACAAACGTGCCACGTTGGAGAACTGGGGAAAAGCTGCGCGACGGGTTTTTATTTTTATTTACTTTCATGCAAAATGTTAACGCATACTTTTGAGTGCTATCCCTGATGTGCTTATTAAAGATCCGAAAGTTGTGACAAAGATATTTACGGAGTGAGACATTTAGCAGTTGATGCATCACCAGTGTGTGTGAATCAAGCAATTTGTAACACCTGTCATGCGCTTTTGTCCGCTCTGTGTCGTACAATCACACGTGATATTTTTATCTCGTGGCAGACTATCTGAAAGAGCAGCTGGATACGTACATGTCCCAGTTTCCCAAAGTGCGGATCATTCATCTGAAGGAGCGACAGGGCCTCATCCGGGCCCGGCTGGCTGGAGCTGCTGTGGCCAAAGGTAACCACTGCTCCGCTTCTCATCCATAAAACAAGAAAAAAAAAGTCGAAAGCAGCCCTCCAGTGTGTGCATCCCATCACATGGTCAGACTTGGTGAAAGTTTTCCGATGTAAACAGACTTTTAACAACAAGACAAATCCTACCTCCTTTGCTGGTTTGGTGGGCACACATTTTAGCACCATTCGACACATTTTAGTAACGTGTGCATTGAATAACACAAAAGTGCAAAGGTTTATTAAGGTCTTATCACAAATAAAGCACATTGTTTTATTGAATGCATACTATTTACTTACTTTGCTTAAACAAACAACCAACAGGGGATGTTTGCCCTCATTAAAACACACACACACGCATTTTTTGTTTGACCACAGCAGGATGCTTGTGTCTTTCCCACAAACTGTAGGTGAGGTCCTCACCTTCCTCGACTCGCACATCGAATGCAACCTGGGCTGGCTGGAGCCGCTGCTGGAGAGAGTCTATCTGGATCGCAAGAAGGTGCCCTGTCCGGTTATTGAAGTGATCAGTGATAAGGACATGAGGTGACTCCACACTCTTTATCTGACAAGACGTACACAATGTGATCTCTCCTTAAGTAGTGCGGAAGAAAATGTCAATTTGCTCCGGCGCTTTCCCCTCTTTTTTTTTTTCATAGTTATATGCTGGTGGACAACTTCCAGAGAGGTATTTTCAAATGGCCTTTGGTTTTTGGCTGGAGTGCTGTACCAGAGGAGCACATTCAGAAGAATAACCTGACCATCTCAGACCCCATCAGGTACCTAAACAGTCCATTTACAGATCCATATTGTATTATTATTATTACTGCTGGCCCATCTTCATTAGTTCTCATCTTACAGGTGTCCAGTTATGGCTGGAGGCCTTTTCTCCATAGACAAAAAATATTTCTATGAGCTTGGTGCTTACGATCCAGGACTGGATGTGTGGGGTGGTGAGAACATGGAGATTTCGTTCAAGGTAACTCACTCGTCTAATTCGTACATGCGTGTTTGCCACGGGGCGCTTTGCGGCATCGTCTCTCGGGTGACTCCTTACCCGCCTCCCCCCTCGTGTGCTGCCACTCGGACAGATCTGGATGTGCGGCGGGGAGATCGAGATCATCCCCTGCTCTCGAGTGGGACACATCTTCCGTGGACAGAATCCTTACAAGTTCCCCAAAGACCGGCAGAAGACCGTGGAGCGGAACCTGGCGAGGGTGGCGGAGGTCTGGCTGGACGAGTACAAGGACCTCTTCTACGGCAACGGCTACCACCACCTGCTGGACAAGAAGAACATCGACATCGGCAACCTCACCGAGCAGATCGAGCTGAGGGAGAAGCTCAAATGCAAGAGCTTCAAGTGGTACCTGGATAATGTGTATCCGGATATGAAGGCTCCCCTAGTCAAAGCGGAGGGCCTGGTATGTGCTTAAATAGACACTGTTTCACTGGTCATGTTCCCCCCCCCCCACCCCCCTTTTTTTTTAAATGTTCTCTTGTAACTTTACCTCGTAGATCTTTAACCGCGGCTTGAGGAAATGCCTCACTCTGCAGCACGGCTCTCTGTCGTTTGACCAATGTGACATCAGCATGCAGGTAGGGGGTCTTCCTTTTTTGTTTTCAACGGATTATTTCAAATGGTTATCGCTTCAGAAGAAAACACTCGGATGCTGTGTGATTATTGGCCTAACAAAAGTATCCAGGCAGCCGATCTAGATGAGGTTGAGTCCCAGGCGGGACCCGAGCCACGGTAAACAAGGGCGGAGTCTGAGGCGAGGCCGAGTCTTTCGCAACGCGGCCTTTGTGGGTTCAGAGCCGCCGCTGAGCCGACCTTCAAAAATTGTTCATTTTTCACGGAGCGTAATTACATCCTGTCGCTCCTCTCTCTCCGTCTGGTATTCAGAGTCAGCACTTTAATTACACCTGGATGAGACACGTTCGCCAGCAAGATCTATGCGTCTCCCCCCACGGCAAGGGCAGCGGCATCGCTTTACAAGTATGTGACAACGCCAATCCTGCACACAACTGGTTCCACAAATCATCCAACTCCGCTCTGGTAGGTCGACTTTGGACGTGCCGATCTTGTTTTTGTCAGTTTCCCTCTCCTTTCCATGCAGTGTCTGTTTTTCAGGACTGGCCTGATTATAAATAGTTTTTTTTTTTTTGTCTTTGTGAAGGCGGAGCACCTCATGTCAGAGTTTGTGTCCAGCCACATGTGCCTGGAGGCGGGGCCTCAGGGGGACGCCCTGCACCTGAATCCATGTGAAAGCAGAAACACCTTTCAAAAGTGGCAGTTCACACACTACCACGCTCTGTGACGAGACTGAAACGTGTCAAACAATTACTAAAGAGACGTGTGTGTGTGTGTGTGTGGTCCGGCGCCTGACCAGAGGAGGCGGGAAGCACTTTGTTGGCAGTAAAATGTGTGTGTGTGTGTGTGTGTGGTGTACTGCAGAGGGTGTGAGAATGTGCAATGTTTCTAATGTCCTTTTGGATTATGTCGCCATGGACCGACTTTGAGCCGCACCCGAGGACAGCGTGCATCTTCTCTCTGCTCAGGAGATGTAGGTGGCTACATCGAGGTGATTGGAAGAACACTCCTTTTTTTGAGCACAGCATATAATCTCACTACCAAAGATAAAACAATGACTCGATTTGAGATGGAATAAAGGGGTTTTCTTTTTGTGTTTAGTCTGCTCGGGCTGATTTAATCATGTACTATGTATTAGTATGAAACATATCACTCAATTCCTGTGAGGCATTGTCTAAATGTCATTTACTTTTATGTTTACAACGCATGGTTGCTTTTTTGGTTTTAAGCATTATTTTGGTGGGTTTTTTTCTTCTTTTTTTTTCAACTGTTCCTTTTGTATGAATTTATTTTTGTCACTAGAGGGAAGTGTTGTTCAGAACATGCATTGAACCTCTGCTGTGATTTCATGATATTGTGACAAACCCCTTCACCACTTACTGACAGAAAAGGATTTCATTAAGAAACTGAGAATAAAATGGAGATACGGACTTAATAGCATGTATCACTTTATTTTTATCCAGCTGTTATAAGTACATCTAAATATGCATGTTTAGCTAATCACTTGACATTTCTTACCCTAAAGATTCCAAACAACATTTGAGTTATTATTAACATTACAAACCCCTGAGCGTCTAATTTATTCAATCTGTTGCTCAAATCCCTGTTTCGTATGTCGAGGTGTTCACCCTAGAGCCATGAAATGAATAAAATGTATCTTGGGAGTCATTGCGCTCCCATCAGATATTAGATAAATAGTTACATAGTGCTCTTTATTTAGAAATCTTGCATCACCTGGAGAGTTACCTGACGTATTTTTAATACAGACAAGTAGACTAGAACAAATAAATATGTAAACCGTGTACTACATGTGCAGTCAGTGTTGTTATGGAGCATCTCCAGCAGTTTTCATCTTCCTTTTAAAAAAAAATATCTTTAAACATCACGTTACAAATTCACGATCATGTGTTCAAACTCCTCTATCTTCTGCCGGGTGTTGCCTCTGCGGATCTTGCGGTAGGACACGGTGCCGTATTTGGAGGAGGAGGACAGGTGGTTGAAGGATTTCTTCGGCAGAGGCAGAGTGGAGCGGCCCGAGCCGGAGACCCCGTGGGACCCCGCGGGGCTTTTAACCCCTTGGCCCTTCTCCGGCTCCACCTGAAGCGCCCCGTCACTGGGCAGCCAGAGTCCAGCGTCGGTTCGGAGCAAGACTTCGAGGTTTGGGGTCGCTTCTTTTTGCTCAGCTGGTAGAGGGAAATCCGGCATTCTGTAAACGAAAGCATCATCTATTGTACAACTCAATATCGCTAAACCCCCCCCGGCCCCCCTTACCTTTTTCTGCTGAAATGTTTTGCTGAGCTTGCACGTTTGGGACGGTGCAGTTTAGCAATCCTCCTTGGCTGCTCGCTGACCTCTGTGGAGTCACATTACACTCTGCTCCTGGTTCTGCAGGATCCGACTCGTCCACGCGCTCGGTTTTTGGTTTCTGGAGCTCCCGTCGTTCCTCCTCTTCCTGAAAGTCCGGCCGAGTCGCCTCTGTCCCCACCTCTGCGATTTCTCCGGCCATAATGGATCCTTCGGCCGTGTCATCCTCGTCGGATGCCACGCTGTTGACAAGAGGCTTGTAGTCGTTGCCGCCAAATCCGGGTGACCGGTTGGCTTTTGTTTCCTGGTGAGCTCGGTCCTCGTCGCTGTAGAACACGGAGTCATCTCCCTCCTCCATTGACCAGGCGTCTCTTTCTTCACGCTCCCCCCGGGTCTGGAGGGCCTCGGCAGCGGCCCCTCCGATGATCTCCAGCACCTGGGACGTGAGCGCGTCCTTTCCCGCCGCGAGCCTCTGGGCCTTTGGAGGCATCGGGCTCGTCCGCGTCTCCGTCTCCATCCGTCTGCTTTTCTTTCCTCTGTGATATTGGAAAAATAGTCAGGCTTGCGCACTTTTCTTTGTTGTCTATTTCTTAAATACACGTTCCAAGCGTGTTACCAGAAACACTTCTTATCCAGGGAAGAGAGACAATCCATCCTGCGTTTCGGTTGGCACCTCGAGGTCCAGCTGTCTGGGGCTCTCGCTAGTGCCAGTACCATTTAAGTGCGTGTGCACGTGGAAAGACAAACGGGCGTTCTGTTGTGGCCCCCGACAAAGACCCTTTGTGGCTCTGGCATCTGCGCATTGAGGAGATTGTGCTCATTCTTTGGTAATCTCTGTTGGGTGACCAGCTCCTGGATTAACATTCTCCCATAGGTTTATGCTTTATATACATATCCAACAAGCTAGAGTAAAAAGTTGCTTACATGCACTGCATGCATGTTATTTGTCGTAATCTGTCATGGAGGATATTTTACTGCTTTTACTACATGAATACTTCCCCCGGATTGTGTGCGTGCAACATAACCTTTCATGATTGAGTCCATCAAGTTATTTTGTTTATGGCTTCATAACACAAAAAATCAATAAAAAACAAGGGGTTATTTTTTTAAAGGATCTCTCCCCTGGTTTCGCACATTTTTAAAATGAACCGTGTCATCGTCTTTGTCAACAGTACACCGAGTGCAGGAAGACAAGTGTGTCATGTCAGAATGCGTCTGTCTTCTTCTTTCTCTTTAGCTGCAGCAGGAAACCAAAGAAGTGAAGCTTATTACAGGAAATGTATGAGGTGTGTTTTGCTTAATTTGTCTACAGACATTATTGAATTCCCAAGGATGCTGATAGTTTGTGTGTATGAGTAAATGATGTGTAATAGCAGCATTGTCACCAATGTAGCCCCCTCTGTTACGCACCCGCTTTCCTTTAGAAAGTGTAACTTTGGAACTATTATGGCTTATTAACTTATATAATAATAATATAGGTATATATGAAGGAAAACACTGCTGGGTTTGTAATACTTCAAGTTTATTGTCCTTTTCTCGTCTTTTGCATACATATTTTCTTGATGTGATACCAAAAAATAAAGCGTAACATTCTGTAAAAAAGTTGCCATTAGAAGCAAATCTTTACACACATTTTTGTTTGTGCAGAAACAGTTTCAGTGTTTCTGCACAAACACCCACGATTGTACAAAGCCTAAAGTACTGTTGAAAATGATAACGGCAAGTAGCCCCCCTTGTGCCCACATCCTGTTTTGAGCTGAGCTGAGCATCTATACAGAGCAGGTGGTTTGGAGGTTTTTCGGCACCTGAACGCGACACAGGAAGACAACCTTTCTGAACGTCGACCTGGCCTGAAAAATCAATGGCCACAGTGATTGTTTAGATTAATGCAGTTACTCAAACCATAAGATCCAGAATCTCCATGATTCACATCATCACATGTGTGCATATATTCATTAAAACCAAAGAATATTTCATAATGCTGTTGTGCCACCACAAGTCTGAGCCACTGAGTGCGGCTCAGCTTCAAGGCCCAGAACACTCAAGTCTCAAACGGTCTGTCCTCTCTCGGGTCCATGAAAGTGACTCCCGGGGTCACTGAGCGATCTCCCCCGTCTCCTCCTCTTCCACCGACCGCTGCAGTCCGGGGATCAACTTGAGGATGTGCTTGCGAACGCTGGTCCTCCTGCTCTTACGGGGCAGGGTACCAAACAAGGAGGACACCCTCCTCGCCTCCTCCCAGGACGGAGACGGGGACAGGGTCAGGGACAGGGACCCGCTGCTGTCGGCCAAGCTGGAGCCGCCGCTGCTGCGGCCGAGGGAGCGCAGGTGTCGGCCGGAGCTGGCGGAGAAGCTCCGGGAGTTTTGGCGCGACGGGAAATCTCTGGAGGAGAAGAAGCAGCCGTCGTCGTCGTCGCCGTCCGTGGTGCTGGCCGCGCTGCGGGGGCTGGGGGAGCACATGTCCCCGAACACGCTGTCCTCCGTCGCGGTGCTCCTGGAGCTGCCGTCGCTGGAAAAGCGCCGGCCGCGGCGGGCCGTCGGGGGGCTCCGAGCCGCCGAGGGGACCCCCCGCGATGTCGTTCAAGTTACCTGAAAGCGTCATTGTCACTTTATCTGCAGCGTTAACGCGGTTGCGTTTTGCACCGTAAAGGGAATCGCCTTTAGAAAGAAACCGGTGAGGAAGGAAGTGGTGCGGTCTGACTCACCTCGTACTAAGCGTGTTTCCTGTAGAGTGAGGGCCTGCAGCTCCACCAGTTTCTCACGCAGCGTTTGCTGTAGAAAAAAAACAACAACAGCAGCACGGTTTTACTTCCAGTAAGATCAGTTTGATCGGGTGTGTTACAACCCGAGGGTCAGAGAGACGCACCTTGAGCTGGCGGACCCTCTTCTCCAGCTCGATCTGCTTCATTATGTTCCCGCACACGGTCTCCATTCTGGAACCACACGGCAAACACAACACAATGACGCACACTTTCAACGGCGAAACACTGCTGTCATACTGTGTTTTTGGGGTTTCGTGCGCACCGGACCTATACGTGCTTTTCTCACTCACGTTAGACTGTTGGTTGAATCTCTTATGAGTTCCAGTATGTGCTGATGAGATGATCCTTCAATGCTGACCTCATTGATGGTGACGATTATATCTCCTGCGAATAAATGGGGATGCAAAATGAATTATGAGAAGACAACAGTGCATTGCACAGCGTTTGGTGTTTGTGATTGGAGGCGTTTGCAATTCTGTGGTATGAGACGCGTCTTGTCCATATGTACAGCAGGAAGGCGCAATGAGGTCTGAGGCTCTCGTACGCGTGTGTGTGTGTGTACGCCCTTGTGAAGGGTGTGGGTGGTTCACCTGCGGTCAGGCCGGCGTTCTCAGCTGCGCTGTCCTCCAGCACTTTGCGCACGAACGTGCACATCTCCACTGCAGAGCTCTCGTTCAGCTGCAGGCCGTAGGTCTGCAACAAGGGGGGCCGTTTGTCAACACTTCCATCCATAAAATGATCCTCTTACAAGTCAGAGTCAGGGATCATAATGCAGTATATGAGTATTAAGTGTGATTACCTGAATTTCAAAACCAAATGTTTCATTGTCTTGTTTTTCCAGTACAATCGTGGTCCTGTGCAGAAGGAGAAATGGAAAAAAAGAGACAAACAAAAGTATTTTAGGAACTGCTCCTCCTCTTCAAGAAAACAAAAATGCTATATATATATATATATATATATATATATATATATATATATATATATATATACACACATATCATATACATATAATTTGTGTGTATTTATATATATATATATATAAAAAATACTGTAGTAAGGTTAAAAGTGAAAGCTTCTCTAAGATAAACTGCACATGAGATTTGATAAATTTACCTTTGTGGGTCGGAGTAGTCGACCAGTGAGCGGGTTTGTTTTGACTGCAAAGTGAGAAATACAGAGTTCCTCTTTAAAGCAACATTAAAGCTTCAACGTCTTGAAGCTCTCAGGCAATTGTTCAATGTGAGTGCATGTTGATCCTCAAAACTCAAAGAACTCAAAGATCAAAACTTGTATTTGAATCGTAAAGGTGTGATTGTGTTTACACTTGCAGTCTCACCTTGCATACTGCGGGCAGAGAGCCCGTGTTGTGCCGCTGTCGACCGCTGTTTCCCTTCAGTGAGCGTCGGTACCAAAGGGAGCATTTCTTCTTCAGAGTATTATCCAGAATGTAATTCTCCTGGCTGCCCTGGCGTTGAAGTCCATTGAAATTCATAGTGTGCTGCACGGTAGACTGGTCCTCAAAGCGTCATCACGTCCTGCTGCAGCAGCTCTTGGAATGATTGTTGTGCGCCGTGCAGCCGAGAGCACACTGTGTCAGGCGGAAATCCACGTCATGTGATGGCTGTGGTGGCCTGCATCTGTAGATCACAGCCACACAGTCTGGTTTCCTGCTCACCTCGGCCTTTTTTTCTCTCCTTTCTTGAGAACGAATAGTTTGCTGAAAAACAAAGTGGGGGGGAGTTTTTTCTTCAAACAGTCCCTTTCGCTTTTTTCTTTTTTTTTTGCAGTCCAAGCAATTTGATTTATGGTCTGTCAGAAAATCAGCAATGCATGAGAAACTGCCACCTCACTCTCCTCCACCTGCTGGGAGCCTTTCTCACTCTCGGTTTCTCAATGGGGCTAACTTCTTCTTCCTGTGTTCTGCCGAGCAGGGTGACTTGTCTTAAGAGGACGCACAAAAGACGCATTTAGCCCGGGGCCGGTGTCACGCTCCCCGAACAGACCGCATGGGTCATTGGACCGAAGGCATCAGACACAATTGGTTCAAAAGGGGAAATCACACACACACACACACACACACACACGGCCAGGGGGGGGCAATGGTAGATGAGGCAGAGAAAACTTAAGCCACAGTGCAAAGATCTTCCACCGCCACGCCCGTGCTTGCAGAAGGTCCACTTGTTTGATGGAACCATAATCTCTCACCATGCAGAAAAGATGCATTTCTTTGTTGACAAGAAATTCTGAGAAAATGGTCTTTTTGATTTCGAGCCTCATACAGTAATTGTACATAAACCCAGTTAAAATACTCCTTAACTGGCAGATTGCCTCAGAGGAATCCGCTCTGCTGCCCCACGGGAGCGTCTGGACACGGATAGCCCATTTCTGCAGAACATCTACAGAACAACATTACATTCCGTTCTCTATGACACCAATGAACTCACTTTAAATGATTTTGTAATAGATGGGGAAAAACTGGAGGATTAAAAAACTGGATTTAAACGTTTGGCAGATAGTGTTACTTCAGACAATACATTTGTGTTTTGTCTTTCAATGCACTGTAAAGGAAGTCTTTGTAAATCAAACTAAGTGGTTATCTTCAAATGTTAGTGTGTAAATTAACTCTGTTCACAAATGTTTCTTTTTTTGTGAAAACGACCTGAATCCACCTTAAAATAGCTAAAAAGCTCAAAGTTTTATTCTTTGTCCTGTTAACCTGCTGTTGGGGGACACTCTGGTCTTGTAGGCCACTTGCATCACAGTCGAACCCGTTGAAGCAACGTGCAGCACAATCCTTGTTTGATTGACTCATTTGCGTACTGCTGATGCCTTCAATGTTACGCTTTTGTTTCCTCCGTCTAACGGACACTTCATAGCAGACGTAGATGAATAGAGCTGCTGAGCACAAACCGGAGATGAGTCACGTCAGTTAAGGTAAAAGCTCCACGGTGAAGATAAGGACCGGTTTCAGATGAGTCGCTCTGGGAAATTCTGTCCTACATGCAGTTGTGTGCAAAACTCTGCTTCTGTAATTTGGAAAGCATTGATTGTGCAATGTCAAAGAACGAGGCCCATCCAGGACAAAAGACAAGGACCATCCGTGACAATGACGCGACGAGTGACAGCAGACACACACAGCTTAAATACACTAGGGAGGTGCAGGTGATTGGACACGGGTGGAAACAATCAGACAATCACAGACGATGACAGGACAAGGCAGGTTACCCAGGGAGACAAGAAGCAGAAAACTACAAAATAAGACAGGAAATAAACCCAGACTGTGACAGACCTTGGGATTAAAGGCCTCAGCTTGCTCCTCCAAACATATCTCTGGTCATTAACAAATTCCTAACAGAAGCAAAATTCATCATTATTGGAACCTCAAGACAACCATGATATACACGTTCTTTACAAGTGTGTGTAAACTTCCGACCACAACTGTATTGCAATAAAGAAATGTATGCAACAAGTAATACAAACAGTCCACTCCATGATAAATCGTTTATTGACTTAATGATATAACTCATTTCTATACAAAATAAATATGCAAGTAATAGACATCTGAGCTACAACACAGAGCTGCATTGATCAACATAACACGATTGTTTCAAAACCAAAGAGCTCCTTTTCCTTTATGATAGTGCTTTGACATTTGATTCCAGCATTTAGCAAATTCATACTCAATATATAAAAAAGACACAAAAAATAAAAGAATTGCACATTGTGGTCACTCCTCTTTGGAATGATTGATAAATCTTTTACATGCTTAGCGGCCGGTTGTGACACCTGTCTGATTCCGAGAACCAGATATGACACGATAGACAAAATAAAAGTTAGGCTCAGAATACATCCTACATTCGAATGTTATATATAAGTACTTTCAATGGACCTAGGCAGAAACGGACTCTTTAATACCATATTTTCAACGTTTCATATCTGTATTCTGCAACACACAGTTGAATGATCCCATGATTGAAGTCAACTAATGATTTCACGAAAAGCAAAACCACAAAGGTTTACAATAACTAGTATTTGTTAAGAGCGCGACAGCTGCTTATATTATCGACTAGTAGTTATAACAGAAACAACACACAGCAGCTACATGGAAGTAACTCGCAACGAAAATCATGGCCGTCGGCCGAGGATGAAATGAAACGCATGATGAATGTGAAACAGTTTTTTTCCACCACAGTACCAGTTTCACAAACTCTACAATAATAGATCAGATCCCCCTCTTTAAACACGCGGTCACTCCGTGTGACATGCAATGCACACACAGGCACAACATCACACGAGAGGGTGAAGATGAGCACGCATGGAATACAAATTCACCCATAAGTCATTTTTTTCCGAAGCCTGTTGTGACAATACTTAACAGAGCGTGATTAAACGTGCACCCGTCGGCCAGACTGAGCCCTGCAGGTGAAACGGCTTAAACGGTTTTAATGAGAATTTGGCAATTTCATTTTTTTTAATGATTTCGCTAATAGCTTCATCAGGATCCTTATCAAGAGCTGATCATATCTTGATCTTTGCTATTGTGCGGTACATTAAGAAACCTGCTATAGCAGAATTGGGAATTGTAAAACTGGGTGTTTTTTATAACATACTAAATGTGGTCTTTGATGTCCCAGTTAAAAATACCAATGTGCCAATGTTAGCATGTTTATTAATTAAAATCATAAAAATGTAACGATTCAAACTAAATCTTTCCATGGGGAGTATTTGACAAATATAGAACATAACCTTTTTTTAACAATCATGAATGAGCAGCTCTATTCAGCAACTGAAAGCTTCAAACGTGGAAACGTGGAAGCAGGAGCTTAAAGCTCTGCTTCTCTTTGTGCAAAGGACAATAACACAAGTACACAAGCACTCTAATGAGCCCATGAGACAACTTCATTCAACTCCACCACCAGCCGGTCTACATATAGAAGTTTGGCCTGAGGGCGGCGCCAGAGGAACGGTCAGGTCTTTAATAAGTTCCCTCTGTTGTGTTTCCACACAGCAGGTTATTATTAGTCGTCCTTTGGGGACCAGAATTTGTTTTAACAAATCTCATCGTTGTCCATTTAATACTTGTTAAGGAACTTGGACCTGAACCATTGGAACATTAGGAGTAATAATTATTCAAAAGCACTATAATATATATATATATATATATATATATATATATATATATATATATGTGTTCGTTTCTTTTCCGCTATCTGTTTGATTGTCAGTTTGCACACTAACTACTCACAGCAATACTTTGTTTGATATAAGATATGGCACGAAAACATCACAATGTGCAACTTCAAGCTCTTGGCACTTAAATCTCTGAGGTAGCAAAATAATCTCTGTATACATTATACTACACACACACACACACACATACATTCATAGGACTCTTCCTACCAAAAGTGCAGCAGCTCGGTTCATTTTTTCACAAGGCGTGTGTGTGTGTGCGTGTGCAAAGCAGCCACGGACGGCTCCTACGTTACTTTGGCACCAACAACCACCTGAAGCTGCTCTGTGAGGCTGAAGAGTGCCCCCTGGAGAGGGCGGCCTCGGCCCGTGAGGCTCTGCTCTCCCTCACAAATCCTACTAATCTTTGACATCCTTGATGAAAGACAGCTGAGACACCGTTTTCTTCACCCTCAGGGCGGTGAGCCGAGCGGCGGGGTTGGCATACCAGCACTCCCTCATCAGTTTGCCCATCACGCGCAGAGCCTGGTGTATCAACAAGCAGACAGTAATATTCGTTTATTTGATACGATGTGCGCCTGCCATCACCATCGTGCTACCAAGAGCCCACAAACAGGACATTTTACTTATTGAACTGTTGTTGTTTTTTGACACAGCAGACAGAAGTCTCCACTTCTCATCTTAACCAATGACAATACAAAGACATTTTGTAATCATCAAACCCAAATTGTAGTATAACAGTTTGTGTCCGTTTCAGAGGTAAATTCGTTGGTAACCGCGAATCCGAAACAAACTAATACATGTTTGGTTGTTTTTATCTTTCGAGTCGGGGCGACAGTCCTGTAATGATGAGTCAGGTTGGATGGTTTGAGTGGTTTGTTGATTGAACATTAGTTCATAAATAAACTGAACATGAGGTCTGACCTCTTTGTTGTAATAAATCAGATTTATCCTCTAAGCATAGAGGCGTGTTGAGGGCGTTGTAGTTTTTGTGTGTAACTTTAGCAGTTTAATAGATACTGATGAGGAGTTTGAATCACATCTATCTTATATGGAAGCATCCTTCCTTCTCACCTCACAGCTCTGCCACTGGTTGGGAACGTTGGGTCTGAGTTTGGGCTCACACACCACCTTCCTCATGTCCTCAATGGTTGGGTCAGAAGGGACCAGGTCATAGTAAGGCAGCTGGAATTCTTCATGAAGTCCTTTGAAAAAGGTACAAGGACGACCACACGATGACACACAGTACTGTTTACAGCGATCAGAAAATAACATTTGCCGCGTTAAACTAGCGTGCGATGGACAAATTGACATGGCTGATTGCATAATCGTCAGTGGTTTCATGAATGTAGCTGACTATTTCCCCTTAAACATCTCTATCCGTGTATTACTGAGTAACAGGAAGTACTGTATATACCGCACTTTTGACTGGTACCGTACGTGCTTGTGTCATTTTGAAGTACCTCTAACAGAGCACCTTCGGGCCATTTCCCAGAACACCAGGCCCAGCGAGTAGATATCCGCCCTCTTGAATGACTCAAAGCAGTTGATATTGATCGTCTCATCAAGGATTTCTGGGGCCATGTACCTGCAGAGGACAAAACCATTAAGACCTAATGAAATGCAAAGTCCGGCGTTTCTTTTTTTTAAACCCCCCATGTCCTCTGAATTTAAAATCATAAATACAGGGAACAAACAAGCAGGTCATCATTCTGAGCAGAAAGGGATTTCATCATTTAGATTTTTGGAGATGGAAAACAATTATACGTCATTTGTAAAAAAAAAAAAAAGAACATTGGTGATTCATGACCTGACAAATATGTGTTAAATCTTGGGAGCCTTCATGGTACGACTAGGATGAAGGGTCTGGTTTACGGTGTATTCAAGTGTGTTCATGCTACTACTAAAAACAAATATGTTTCACTGCAACCAATGTTACCATGCTTGCATCAACTCTACACGCTTCATGACTTTTGTCCAACATTTTCCCAACGGACCTTAAACACCACACATTGTTTCACTTTATCAGGGAAACGTAACGAATAAAACAAGTGATTTCACGTCCATTTGGTTTCTACTTTCTATGTGAGGTAAATCCAACCTCTTGGTTCCCACTCTGTGGTTGGACGGTATTTCGATGGAGTTGGTGCTGGAGTCATGTTTCACAGCCAAACCCAAATCTGCGATGACAGCGGTGCCGTTCTTCTTCACCAGGACATTTTTAGACTTCAGATCTCTGTGGGCTATGGCGGGTTTGCCTGAAACCAAGAAAGGAAACAAATAAGATTTTAGGCCATGTTGACAAAACAAAAAAGCCCAAAAAGTCTGGATAATCTTTAGGTGCAGGTCCGAATTACGGACAGACCCCTTAACTGATGCAATCCAGGCTCAGACAACAATGATATGGTGGTTTTGCCGAGCACACAATAATAGATATAAAGAATAGAACAAAACCATACCCTGAGTTCCAATGAGTTCCATGTGGAGATGTGCCAGTCCGCTTGCTATGGACAGAGCGAGGACGCTCATGCCTTCCAGAGAGACTGTGAACCTGTTCAGGTAATCATACAGGGAGCCGTGCTCATGGTACTCTGACACCAACCACAGCTGGGTCCACGAGCCGTTATCTGCAGGAATGAAGCATTATTTGCCCACATTAATCTGATAATGAACTTGATCCTCTTTAGTCCGTGTGTGCGTCGCGACTCTCGTACCTTTGTTGTCCGCGGCAATGAAGCCCAAGATGTTCTCGTGTCTGAGCATGATCGTCTGATAGATCTCTGCTTCGCGAAACCACGACCTCTCGTCTCTGGAGGAGAAGATCTTCACCGCCACGTCCTCTCCTCGCCACTTTCCCCGCCACACCTCCCCAAACCGACCCTTCCCGATGGTCTCCTGCAGGACGATGGTCCGGGCTATCGTCCGCTGGACCAGCAACGGCAGACCTGCAACACGCCAGCGAGACAGCTGACCTCGATGTGGCCACCGTCACATTCATCCAAGCCTTGTTGGGTGTAAAACAGAATAAATGCGACGATGAGTGCTCTAAGTTGCTCTGACCTGATCCAGAGCCCGAGGTGCTCATGTCATAGATCAGATCTTTGAGACATTTGTCGGCCGACATCAGCATCTGGTCTTCCAGAGGCTCCTCTGGGTCCTGCTTGTGGGCGCCGCCGTAAACACACCGGTGGCTCTGTACAACGAACACACTCAGCAGGATCCCCACACACAGAAGGCAGGAGGGCACCAGGATCACCACGGTGAGCTGCAGCCTGCTCCAGCCGGGCTCCTCCAAAGGCCTCTCTGGTAGCACGTACAAACACAACATTCCAGCATGTCATCGCTCCCGGACACATCAAATCCTTAGGATTAAGAATCAGTGGAATAATTGAAAGAATGGGTGTTCACCACTGAGCTCCTGGTGGTGGGTAATGTTGTATTTTATGTTGTATACAACAGATAATGGCCTGAAATCATCACCTCAAGCAGGCGAAATTCTTTCACTGGTGGATGACTGCCGATGAAATATGTTGACGTTCTGTATTTCAGAGAAACCATCCGCCCTGCTGGTATTGTTCAAGTTTAGAGGGATGGAAATTGCACATTTGGCAGACGCAATGTTTTGCCTGCCAACAAAATGCCTTTTCCACAGCAACAGTAATGTCATCACAGCCAATAAATGTCATTTAGCAAAAGTAATGAAGAGACAAACAGGCATGAGCTTGCAAAAGAAAATACAAATAACACAAAATCTTCTTTTTTTGAACAACAACAGCCGCACTATAAAAATAAATGATTGGTTTGGCAAAAAATAAAATAGCCTGCATTTGACTTTCATTCTGTGTGTGTGGGGGGGTAAGGTGGGGGGGGACCTGGATACAAACAAAAATGCACAGCTGGTGGGCGCTGGGATAATATGAGATTCAATGACACGCTGACAACATTATGTAGACTGGTTATAAGGAACATCTTGGAGGCTACTTGATTTGGTTGACTTTTGTCTTATTTTAACTTCAGGAGTGACTGCAAGAACTAATAAGTCTTTCAACATACAGTGTCAACCTTAAACAACGCAGACTTGAGAAACCAAAAAACCTAAATCGATGTTTCTTCAGCCTTGTCTCCGATCCCCAAAGCACAAAATGTTCAGGAGTTCCTCAATCATGCACCATGTGGAGATGGCCCAGTGGGCGAAGCAACAGGTCGTGAACTAAACCACAGTTTCGTAAGACATCTTTTGCCTTTTCCCCAAATACATGTCCTGCCTGCATGTGTCAAACTACAGCTCCGCAGACACGAAACACTTTACTCTCCACTGGCTGAAAGAAAAAAGAAAAAGAAACTCTCTACAAACTGTTTATTGATGGCTCTGCAACGGGTCAAAGACGTAATCTAGACATTCATTTTGGTACATGAGCAAATGCTTGGAAATTGAGGAGCGCATGATGCGAAAAGACCCTAAACCAAAGCCCAGATTGATTCTGGTGTTCTCATTCAAAGTCAACACCACCCCGGCCTGCGGGTGCTTCCCAGACCCTTTGTTCCCGTCCCTTTCGTTCATCTGTGATCGGTTATCATGAATCAGGAATGGACCATGAATTACAACAGTACATTTTGTTAGTTAAAAAATGTAGGAAGAGGAAAATAAACTGTCCTTTTTTTGAATAGCAGTCTCTAGAATAATTAATCTGAGGAGCCTACCGGAATAGATTTGTTTTACAGTTTTGTTCTTTGTACCTTTAAAAAAGTCTCTCTGCAAATTGGAGCTAAACAGTCCATTAATTAATTGAGAGAAAATACATCTGCAACAGTTTTGATCATCAATTGATGAGACGTTTTGGTCGTCAGTTGTATGTTAATAAACTGAATATTTTAGGACATCTGAACACCCCTAATATAGAGATTTGGAGACATTCTTTTTCTTCTGATATTTTACAAAAAGTTTGATTAAATAACTGAGAATATAATCTGTAGTTTAATAAATTAAGAAAATAGTTGCCTATGATGGTGTTATTGACGCCACCTAGTTGACACGACACATTGACTCACGGTCAAAAACCGCCTGGTACTCATCCACACCAGAGTTCATAAGCAGGCACGTTACTTCAATGCATTTCCATGGTAATGCGCCACCCTGTGTTCATGTCTAGAAACTGCATGTCCCAATTCACCACGGTGGTTCCCTCAAAATGAACGAAAGCCCCGAAACCTGCATTATGGCTCCAACAATACAAATTAGTCAATGGCAAAATGCATTTCCGTTTTCTTAAAGATGTGCTCAGTGACATCCTGATATGGACATTGGATACGTTTCTTTGCAAGACCACATTTCTGACAGAGTAGTTATTTACTCTATAAACACTCACTGCCTCTGCCCGATTTGTTATGTCACAGGATCGAGTGGGATCAGCATCCACCTCGTCTGGCCGGGGCCAGAATGAGAGGGAAAGTTGCTGTTGAATAACTACTGTATCTAATCCATTAAAAAGAATGAACTAAAGAAGAGCCATCCCTTCTCTCTGTACCTGCGTGTAGGTGTAGAGTCTCATTGTTGCAGAAGTCAGTGAAGCAGCAGTTCCTCTTGGAGACGTTTCGGGAGCTGTAACAGAAGACCTGGCCCTTCATCTCGGAGGGCGACATGCACGACTTGTCCGTCTCCTCCTTCCCGTCGACCAGCATCACCGAGTTCCAGCAGGCTCCGTCCGCGGCCGTCTCGCAGGTGTGGTTGGCGCAAAGCTGGCACACGCACCTCAGACCTGAAACAAACGACATCGCTCAAGATGGTTGTTTTCCCCCACGGACATTTCCCGCTAGTTAATTCATTGAATTCGGAAACAGACTGCCGTAGAAAAGTGGTCTTTAACTGTTTTGATGCTCCTGTTACGTAAGCAGGTCCATGTTCTCAAATGGCTGGAAGTGGGGGAACCAACATAATGCCTCTTAGTTTAACACCCAGATAATCTTGTGCTCTTCTTGGAGCTGCTGTCATGCTTTGTTTTGATAAGATTGGGAATGATTAATAAGCGAACTTGCACTTCCCACTCGTTGTAAAAGATGTAATAAACAGTAACAATATTATACAATATTCAAAAAATCTAGTTTTAATGTATGCATTATAATCAGTACAGGAGTACCTAATAAAGAGTCGAATCTGATAGAAATTGGTGGACGTTGAATTGTACGTCCTGGAATTAGTGGTTTGCATGCTCACTCAGTCTGGTTGCAACAAAAACATTCCATAGAGGTATTTTCTTGTGACAATAAGTCACCACTTTACGTTTTCTAATGTAAGTTCCACATCACCTGTATTAGTCTTGTATTAGCAAAGGCGGGAGGGAAGTGGTTAGATTATCGAATACAGGGAAAACAACTGAGACATAACAAGTACTAAAGATGAGAAATGGAGCCTGTCAGCTCGTGATCATCGGTTCGGTTTAAGGTTTACAACGAGGAAAAGTAAAAAAAAAACACAAACTCTTTCATTTCCTGATGTGGAAATTTCCTGTCATGAAAAAATGTTTCATACTATGGGAGTTATAAAAATGAGGACAGCATTGGTGCATGAATGCTCCCTGAGGCACGCACGGCTATTTTCAACTGATTTGGAAAGACGGTTTGTCCCCGAAATAATAAGCGGGTGTCAACAATGACGTAGTAAGAAATGAAAGAAACTATGGCAGCTTCTCTCAAAACCATCCGACTTCCCGACCGTTTCTCATTGATGTGCACACACAGTAGCACGGAAGGAATGCAATTATGTTCCAAGGTAGTGGTGAGCGGGGAAACTCAACCTTGTGGCATTCGGCACTAAAGATGACTAAAAAATAAACAACCGTTCCACATTTACTGAGGCGTAGAATTAATTACAACAGTATAAATTTATTATAGCTTTTGGTCTTTTTAAATGATTGGTACTAAGAAAATTAGAAGCTACAGCGTAATAATTTCTTATTTCTTACCTAAAATCTCTTACAGCCCAAATTTTAACAGTAGACTTACAAGTTGCTTGGCAACAAACTTACTCAAGTACTTACTCTGTCACTTTGTGATTAAAGCTACCAAGGCTCTGTAAATACGGGTGAACTGTGTTTAATGGACTCTTTAATCACGTGTCCTGGCAGGGAAGCAAGTAGAAACAAAATGACGTTGGTGTACAGTTTTTTGTCTGAGTTTTTCCTCAGTCCAAGTGTTACTTTATAATAAAAGAAGTTTTCTACCACAGTAAAAAAGCTGCATGGGGTTTTGTAGATGGCGCAGTTGTCGTGTTGAAGATGTCGTCATAATTAGTGGAATCGATCAGCAGGTTTTGAGGAAATCAAATCAAACTTTAAGCACATTTCAACATAAAGAATAAGTCCATGTTTCCTTAGAAGTAATAACAGGCTCTGCAGCTCTCATTAATCTTGGACGAGATATTTGTTTTTTTCATCAACTAAGGTGATAAAGAGCATTCACCCCTCAACTTGTTTCCTTAACAACTTCCTGACAACTCTTCTCGGAGTTGCTCAATTATTAAGGCATGAATAGGGCTGAGTTGCAGAGACTCTAAAACATATTTTTCATTCATTTCAAATGAAACATTAGTATAATGCTGACAGGATCGTCCTTGAACTATAATTTGCAACGACGGTACCATTCAAGCGTCATATTGCAAATTATAGCAATTATGTATGGAGAGAGAATGCCAAGCAGTACTTCTCATGGCCCTTCACTTAAAATGTGTCTGTCACCTGGAAGGAGGGCATCTTAGAGAGAAAAAGCACTCTGCTGATTAGCTGGATTTATCTGTATGAGTAAGTGAGTTCATACACATTTTCTGTGTATGAAACAAGAAATGCCAGTCGACTGATAGAGGCTTACAAACATTGTCTATTTCTACAGTCAACCAAACCTGTTGCCTCAATAAAGACATATGATAACAGCTTTTATACTTTGGTGGAAACCAGGACAATCAGACTGCCGTAGGTAAGATACAGAATGTGAGTACCTGCAGTGACTGGAAATTAATTTCTGTATTTTACAGAATAAAATGCAGCATAACAGCTTGGGCACCACATAGCAGAATTAATGAAAGTGGACATTTTGGATTTTTTCTTTTAAAAAATCAGGCCTATTAGCTCTAAGAAAATAATGAAATATGCAGATCACACCCTGCTGAAGCCAAAGGGGACATTTTCAATTTCCAAACCCAGGTCAGTTTACAATCATTCAGGCAAGAAAAAGCTGCACATCCTCACAGAGAATTATTGGTATTTTCCTCGAGTGAATTGTTTCTACTGAAGTTTCAGATTTAGTCCAAGAATGTAATTATTTTATCATAAAACACACACAAATATTATCTTTGACCTAGAAGAGTTTTTGCCTAGTTTTTTTTATTTAACTTGCAAGCTTGACCAATCATTCCCATCTTATAAATTTAAGACAGCTATTTTAAAAAGCACGTGGTCTGTGAACGCCCACTGCCGTACAAGTGGCACAACATGGAAAAACAGGGGGCAACAGGAGCCTTTTTTCAGTCTCTTTTTAAAGAACCTTATTCAGCAAAATATATTTTTTTTCCCTCCAACTTATAAAGGCGAATTAATTGAATAAACTTCATGAATGGATCCTGGGTTTGTTGACATTGCGAAAAGCCTCCGGGCAGCGAGGGGGTAAGGGGGCGATTTCAAAAGTCACCCGAATTAATTATTTATCCCACCGAGCAAACAATCTAAACGGGCAGGCCTTTTGAGAAGAGAACCCCCCCCCCCGCCAGCTGCCGCGTACCTGCAGTCAGCTGCGCGACGGACAGCACGATGAGCGCCGCTCGCAGGCTGCGCTTCCCGGGACGAGTCATGGCCGGAGCGGCATCCGCTCCGCGCGCTCTCCGGCTCTCACGCGGCCGCTCCGCGCGCAGACATGACTCTCTGCGCTGCTCCACGCGGGCGAAAAGTCCGTCGGGTCGCGGTGCAGCCTTCGCTCCCTTGACAGCGTGGAGGGAAAACCGTGGAAGCGCAGCGCGAGAGGCTTTTTTAACATTTTTATTTTTGGTGAGGGGGGGTGTTTTGGTTTTCCGCCCCGCCTCTTTCGACTAGCATTAAGTGGATTTGGAGCAGCAGACCTCAGATAGAGACATGGGAGAGAGAGAGGGGGAGATAAAGTGTGTGAACTGCACCTCCCTGTCCCTCCCTGAATTGTGCATAATGCGCGGTGACCAAGTGTCTGTGTACATCATACACAATCTCATGGGCGGCCACATGAGTACACAGACCACACGCTTTGTTCTTTGGTTGACATTCTGGTTTCCAAGTGACCTTATAAACCCCGGCGTAGGGGCCCCGGGCCAAAAGGAAAGTCGCTGAAGAACCAAGTCCGGGTACCACTGCTAAGATTCTGTCTGACCAAGCAGAGAGTAAAGACTGTCGGGTAATCTGCTGTACATGCGGCTCAATGCAAGCGTTAGCCCGATCCACCTGCGTGCTGTCACTTATTTACTGTTCCTGTAAATAACTATTTGTGATTTGGAACTATTTGTAAATAACTATTTGTTATTTACAGGACATAAATATAACTTTTACGTTTGCCGATGCTCAGGCATCGTCCGCGGCAACAGCAGGTGCCACTGTCACCAAGGAGAGTGGACGAATGAGCCGAGTGCACAGGAGCAAATCAACAAGCTTAAACTGAACTTTTCCCAATGTATTCAAAGTCAAACCAAGTCTACTGTGAACGGTGAGACGTTTATCGCTGATGCAGGAAACTTGTTGGTTCTGCAAAGGCCACGGGTGCATTAACCGCTGCTCCGAATGTACTAGACTAAAACAGACAAAACAACAAAAAAAAAGTCAGCTATTCAACTACAAATTTTTCAGGCAGTCATGAACAGATTACGTCAGTTGTAAGCACTTGGAAGTGGACAGCATACAAACCCTGGTACAGAACCTGGGTGGAAATAAGGTTGGATTGGGAAACTGGTGGCGTTGAACCTCTGTGGTGTGTCAAATGACAATGAATATGAAGACCGTGTGCGTAGGTTTGACAGCTGTTGATGCAAGCAGGGGGTCTCAGCACTGTTAGCGTTTCTATCACAGCCCACAACTCCTCTGGCATATTAATCAGTAGGAAAAACCATCAGGGGCCCAGTTTCTGGTTGTTATTTACCAGGATATCTGCTGTGCACGCAGTTTCACATTACATCTGCCAGGGCTTTTGACCTTTGCCCAATGAGTACGGTTTCATTTGTAGCACTTCAGTGCAAATGTCAAGCTTTTTTTGCAGGAATGAATTAGAGGGATATGTAAAAGTAACTGATACAAGTGAATCATTTCACGGTAAACTAAACTGTCTCTGTGTAGGGATGGAAATAGAGGCATGGATGGATGAAGAACTACTATATGCTGTGGGCAAAGTATCTTATTAGAATTAGAAACGACTGGTTGATTTTAAACTGTAGATGCCACTGTAATAAAAACTTGACAGGAAGGTCCTTAGCGTTGACGGTATTTGATTATAAATTGAAACAAATTAAAGTTTGACTAGATGAAAGTGTAGGGGAATCAGCAAAGCCATTAGAAATACTCTTTAGAGCAGGGGTCTTCAACGTTTTTCAGGCCAAGGACCCCCAAACTCATGGTGAGAAGGAGCAGGGACCCCCTATTCGACGGGGTTTGGTCCGCCATCTTTTATTTTTGAGCTTCGGTCACGACCCCCCCCGCAGTACCTCCGCAAACCCAAATTCGAAACCTTTTACTTTAAACCTCTACTGCAAACGTAATGGAGCTGGTAGCGGAAACGTTTTGGGGAGGGGGGGGGGGGGGGTCACCAAAGCCAACATGATCCATCAGTGGGGGGATTATGAATGTTAGTGCAACATTTCATCCTCATTCATTTAGTACTGATCGAGGTTTTTCAATGGGGACCAAGGTGACAATTACTATAAAACTGGAGCCACTCCACTACCACGGCTGAAAATAGATAAATATACAGGATACGGCATTAAGACAAATAAGACGGATGAAACACTTTCTTTGTATTTAATTAATATAAATCACTAATTAACACAACATGTTAAAGACATTTTAAAAAGGCTGAAGTTTGACTTAATTTACTTGACAATGCACAAATTAAGACAACAAGCACGCGGTAAGACAGTATACAGGGTTAACTTACAGGCCTCCGAGTTCAGCATCTAGCCCATATTTTATTTGTTCCTTAAGCATTTTGTCTCTGTAAAGCTCAAGAAACAAAAACATACAACAGCTACAGGTCAATTCTATGTAAAAATCCATGATGATGTAACTGAGTACCCTCAGCTGGACGCTGTAGCAGGAATAAAACCGTGCTGTTGATGCAGCTGTACAACCAACCGACGCGGGATTGTTGAGATCCCAAGAAACCAGTTCTGATAGCGTCGTAAACAGAGGTGCGTGACGCACAAAGTTAAACATAACCCTGCTCGCTGCGATCGCTGATGATCTCTTTTACAAATGGATCCACTGTATCACAAATGGCCCATATGGCACAATTATGGAGATGAAGTGAAATTGTTTTTCAAATCAAAAAAAAAAAAAAAAACATGCCACAAAATCTGTGGTTGTAACAAAAAAAACTCAAATAAAATGCTCAGGTAACAGTTTCTCTCTTGAATAACATTGCAAACAGTCCAGCTCCTATGTCATACATTTAATATACATTTCCCTCTTTCCGTGACCACTGGCAGTCTCAGAAATGCCCGGTAGGCCATCTTTGGATGCCAAAATGTTTCCCGCCAAGTGTTTTCAAATAAATATAGGTTTGTGCCACTATAAGGGCACCAAACCAATCAAGTCTTTTGTCTTGTGAGAATTCTTTAACCCCCCTCCAAACGGATGTCAGTAGGTCCGTCTCTTCTTCTAGAAGCAGACTCAAATGTCTGTCTTGATTTTGTCCAGAGAGTTGTCGATCTTCGTGAGAGTCTTTTTGATGCGCAACGCTGTGAGTCTGGCAGACGGATTCTGGTACCAGCACTCCTTCATGAGTTTAGCCATGGAGGTCAATGTCTGGAAATGAATAAAGAGAAATAAATCAACCGGTGTCTCCAGTGTCAAGGCACATATGCATGGAAATTAAAAGCAACTTCAACTGTATGCTATGATACAAGGACTCTAGAAATATCACTCACAGGGTCTGAAAACCATCTGTTTGGGATGTTGGGCCTCTGCTGATCCACACACACAACCTTCTTCATATCCTCAAAACTGGGATCGCTTGGGACCACGTCGTGAAAAGGTGGCTTGTAGTCCTCCACGATGCCTAAGGAGAGAGCAGAGCGTGCAGCAATTCACTTTCAAGAACTCTCAATCGCTTACGATAAAGTAACAACTGACAAGTGGCTGACACAAAAAAAACACCACTTTTCTTTTGGGGGCTCTTGAGTGCAGCCACGGGACGAAATAAGAGACATGAAGTTACTGCGTGGAGGGTAAATCAGTATCTTAAGTGTTGTCGAGAGCCCAGTTCCCACTGTAAAGCGATAAATCCAGTTGACAACAGATTCAAGTTTTAGTTCACATGCACGGACCAAAAGGGAGTCGAGGTTAGTGTGCATCAAGGCCAAATCTCTTTATCCCAGAAATGACAATATGCCGATTCATCCAACGGGACCATGTTGTGTAAAAAAGACATTTCCTCACCATTGCTGACTGTCCTCCTGGCGATCTCCCACAGGACGAGGCCCAGGGCCCAGATGTCCACCCTCTTGAAGGACTCGAAGCAATCCATCTGGATGGAGTCGTCCAGCACCTCGGGGGCCATGTAGCGCTTGGTGCCCACTTTGGGGTTGTTCCCCACATCCAGCTCGTTGGTGTCTTGAAAATGCATCACGGCCAGACCTAGAGGGAAAAAGCACCAGTGTAAGTAAAGCCCCCCTCCACACAGGAGATGTGTGAAAGTACTCGCTAGAAGGTGGAAAACAGCCTCCTGGTGTGTTTGAGTGGTGGGCGACTAAAAGCATCCCGTCTCGGACAACTATAATGGACCCAAAGCACCACTCTCACTGCGAGGTCGCCCGGCGCTGAAACACTACTTGTTTGTCCTAAACAGTCCGGTTCCAGCAGGACGTAATGCGACAGAAGAACAAATCGCTGCCGTGTTTGTCGGAACAGCAAAATGAGTCATCCGGAGCAGAATTTGTCACATCGAGCGTGTAAACATGCCGAGCCGGCCGCCAGGTTATTGATTGTTACCTGATTTTTGTTTTTCTCCAAGCACCTGTAGATGGAACATTGGTGTATTAGTCACAGTTCCTCTAAATGCGTTTTTGATTAAGGCCTCGGTGTTGCATTTAAGCACTGGACGTTCTGCTTTTATCAGCGGCAAATATGGCTAAGCGGATAAATGCGAGAGGACTAATATTATTTCCGATGAATCTCTTATGAGATACAAACTTCAAACTTCCAAAACAGCCTTCAGTAGTTACATCAGCTCTCATCAGCTCGGGCCCGGTAGCAGCAGACTTGAGTCCTTCTCCCCGGGAACATTTTCAAGCTCTTTGTGGTGAACCCTGAAGCTCTTCCGTGCCAGATGAGAAGTATAATCTCCTTCCAGCCAATCCGGGGCCTCTTAGCAGATATCCTTCAAACAAGTTTGAACCCCCTCAGCTGGGTGAATTCTACTCCAACCTCCCTTTTCTTTTAGAAATCTCCCAGATCTTTTAGTTTGAGCCCTGCTACCATTAACAGAACACAACGAGAGCTTTCTCAGCTCCCTTTTCACAACGCCTGTATCACCGTCAACTGGACCGAAGGCCCGGTCTGAGAAGAACCTCAGAGGAGCATCATCTAAGAAGAGCAGAGGGGCCAAAGTGACGGGCCCAGAAGATGCTGTAAAATGTTTATACCCAAGATGTGGTGTTTTTTGAGAGTGACTCATTCATCTAATATTCTAGTTCTATCATTTTTCAAAACCACGCCTTAAGATACATTTCAAATATGTTCTACTGGTATCTAACAGATTGAGCCTCTCCATATGAATTTTAACTATATTAACTATTTGGTTAAAAGAAGTAGGGAAATGTGGATTTATCGTGAGCTCACCGAGGTCAGCAATGCAGCAATGTCCGTTCTTTTGCACCAATATGTTTTTGCTCTTGAGGTCCCGGTGGGCAATGGCCGGCTTGCCCTGAGTGCCGAAGATCTCCACATGGAGGTGCGCCAGGCCGCTCGCGATGGAAAGCGCCATGCGGAGGCAGCCGGCTGCGTCCAGGGTGCTGAGTTGAAGGTAGTCGTACAGGGAGCCCATCTCATGGAAGTGTGTGATCAGCCACAACTGAGTGCTGGAGTTCCTCGAGGTCATGTCCGAAGCTATGAAGCCTAAATTGAGTGAAACAGCAGTGCAATGAATAAACAATAGCCTTTGGTTATACGGTACAGCAGGTGGCTTGCAGCCTGTATACGTGGAATAGGCGACGCACCCAGGATGTTCTCATGCCTCAGCAGCACGGTGTTGTAGATCTCAGTCTCTCTGAACCAGGACTTCTCGTCTCTGGAGGAGAAGATTTTGACGGCGACACTCTCTCCCTGCCACTGACCCCTCCACACTTCACCGTAACGGCCCTTACCTGGCAGGCGAAAACAAGGGGAGGAACGAGCAAACGAGTTCAAAAAAAGAAACGGAATGAAACGAACCCAGAAGGTTGCGTTTTACTGGGATTCCTTACGCTCGCATTACCTAACCTTTTGGTCTATTAATAAGATTAGAACAGCCTACTAACATATTTTCCAATATTTTAAAATTGGTTTATTACTTATGGATAAAATAATTGCATTGCATGTTTTGGTCTGTGCCACAAATGAAGGGTTACAAATGGAAAACAGTATATTGGTATAAAGATATAAACTGTGTCCAGCTTGCAGGTTGGTGAGACAATGAGATGAGTCACAGACAGATGACAACCATCCAAAAGGAGAGTTACAACTCTAGTGGGTTATTCTAGCAACAATGACATGCTCCTCTGTCAATCCTTGGGAGGTAAACAATGCATTGTATATATTGTATATAAGCACTTACACATACTGCAGGAGGAAGTGCTGTTGTCCATATCAAAAAACAGCTTTAAACAGGACACTTACCTACACACTCGTTGAGCGTGATTTGTCGTGCAACAGTTCTCTGAACGAGGAAAGGGAGTCCCGAGCCGCTTCCTGAAGTGCAGGAATGATCAAGGAGATCCTGGCAAAGACAAAGACGGAAACAAAGCACCGTTTTTTAAAAATGTATGTGTGACATTTGCGAGTGAGCTAGTTGAATGGAAACTTTCTCAGAGGAGTTCTGTGGCTCAAGCATAAACAAAGATGAAACACGGAGCATCTGGGACTCGGCTGGAGACCAACAGGTAGCCTTTGATGCGGCTCCCACGTGGGATGTGCTGGAAGTGCCCCCCCCTCCCCTGATGACCGACGTTGGCACTGCAGATTTTTCTCTCACCAAGGGCCAGAGTCCCCCAGAACATCTGTAAAGCCACTCAGGCTTTCTTTTTTTATTATCTCAGTTGAAACACATGCAGCAGCCCGGCGCCGACACAGGAGGGCAGTGTGGGGCCACAGAGGGGGTGACCAGCGGGGAGGGGAGGGGAGGATGAGGATGAGGATTGGAAAACAACAATGAGTGATGCCTCAGATAAACAGATGCATAATGCAAGAGCTGCCTGGGAGACCGCTTGGAATCACAACACAGGAGCACGAAGGCAGAGGCCACAAAATAGATGAGGAGTCGCTCTGCGGAGAGTTTAAATCCCTCTCTGTGGTGCAGGCGGATTGCTTTTAGGAGGGTGTATTCGAGGCCGGGCCTTTAAGCGGCAGAATGCAATCAGAACGATGCAATATCGGCATAATCAAGCGACTTGTGGGCAGCGGCCCGCGGAGGGACCGGCACATGTGTTTCAGCCCGATATGCTTCTCACAGCAACACCACTGTTAATAATATCAAACCTCGTAACCTCGCTTTTTTATTAGGATGATACAAACAAACATTCTGTGGCATATTTCAGGGCTTTTCATTGGAAAGCTCTAAATAAAGCAGAGATCAGCTATTTCCTTTTTCTAAAATGTTTTCGCAGTATTTACAAGTTTGATAATTAAAGATAAATATGAGTATTTGGTCCTTTACCAAAACACATTTAGAAAAACATTCTTCCATGCAGCAGAAAACCTTTAAGTTTTAAGTGTGTTATGCTTTCAGGTCAAAAAGAAAAAGGATACCAAAGTATGTGAATACAAAACGTATGCTTTTGTAAGCATATGGAATCACAAAATGAAAGTTAACAGTCGTGCATTTTGTTAGGGCACCAGCTCGAGTATTCAGCTGCACTTGATTAGACAATGCGTAAGCCAGTGAATGTGCTGGGTTGTCTTCTCAGACTAAACGCCAACCACAGGACTCCACCCAGACTCTGGATCAGTTTAGAGGGGCCTCAAAACATAAACCACTCGACAGAAAACTCACAAGCCGCAGTTGAGTGGAGGAAAAATAAATAGTGGACGGGAACATCGTAAAACAAGTTCGAATTGCCAAATGGAGATTATGATCTGGAAAAAACACACACTGTTAAGAAGTGATGGACTGCACAGTAAACATAATCCTTTTTGGTGAGATTTTGACCCTACAACCCCTTAAAGCACTCCGACATATTCAGGCTTTTAACCTGCACCACCAATACAGTGACACAGTGCACTTATCTGTTCTTTCAATTGTATAGGTAAAAATACTTCCTACTAACTAATACTAATGCATACAGTGTTTGCCTTAACCCATTATAACAGCCCCCCCCTCCGCTGAAAAAGTGTGCAATTCAAAACATTATATTTCCATGCAGGCAGTTCCACATTTTTCTGGGGTGACGATCTGGATCCAAGTGATTATATAATCCTTCCCCAACCTTGAAATTATATTAATTTCCTTATATAACACCGCTGTGCTTATGGTGCACATTTCAGATATGTTGCGATAGAAAAGCCAACACAATATAATTTATGTATCTATCCTTTCCCACTAATGATAATTTTCCCTTGAATGATGACTGGCTGTTTTTAAGCCAACTCTATTATTCATAAATGAGACATTGCACAGGTTTATTTACTTCTTTAACACTACAGACATTTCTTGCCTCAGTAGAGGTCAATTTGTAAGAGTACCTACCTACAAACTACGCAGCAGCGCGCACAGAGAGAAAGAAGCAGGTTAAAATAAAAGACCAAACTGGTCAATGAAAAAAGGCCTTGAGCCGCTCCAACACTATTCTTCGTAGTCGAGTCGAGGAATCCCACTCACCGCCAGAGTGCTCTCTCCCACGTTGGAGGCTATAAGGCCGTCGATGGTTCCATATTCTGCGTCTCGCAACGTCAGTCTCTCCATTTGGTTGTTGTGGATGCGCCTGAACACGAGGATCGCGACGGCGGAGAGGACGATGAGGATGATGACGGGCGCCACGATGACGACAGCCAGTGTGGTCACACTGTAGCTGGATAGCTCGGCGGCTGCAATGGGAGCGAGAAGGTGGGGGAAGAAAACGTTTAGGACACAAAGCGGAGCTCGACGTCTACGTTTGGATGGGCATGTGCCAGAAAGGCCTAAGTGAACAACGGATCCACGTCCAACAGAGCGGCGGCGCGGGAAGAGGTGATGGCAACTATGTTTGTTGAGGGTAGGGTCTTCGCAGCGGGGGGAGCTTTTGCTCTGACTGACACAAATCAAAAGGTTCACAGCACTCTGCAGACCTCCTGGAGACACGTTAGGGGTGTGGGTGCACATAGAGTGCACACGTTCATTCACACACAAACACAGAGTGGATTTCATTGAGTCGGCGGAGGACGGCCTGAGGAACTGACCACCATTCACACTTTAGAAAACATTCCAAGGGGAAATTCGGCTCAGCTCTGCCAGACAATGCTCTCTTTTTCTCAACTCAAATAGTGAGCCATTTCTTTCAAAAAAACATAACTAGCAACACATTGCAGCAAATCGCTAGGACCAAGCACATGGACAGAGTGGCATTTAGCTTAAAAACACGTTCTTGTATTTGCTGCAATGTATTGTAACATATTGAAGGCATTGTGTGGATTGTTATGATGTGGTAACTGTCACACAGCTGTAGATATTTCCAATTTGAAAGTTGTATTTTTCTGAGCTAATCACCAAATACACAACCCAGCTGGGGTTCCATATATATAAACTGCTGGAGAGAGAAGAGAAAATGGGACAGTAACAAAAAGCACAACAGCCTCTCTGTGTATGGATGCCTGCCTCTCCCTCATCCCCCGGGGGGCCTTCACCCGCTGGGCTCTTCAGCCAGCTCTGACAGCCTCTAAGAAAACACCACCAGGGGAGCGGACGGTGACTAAACAATATTCTAAACCTCCACCTTTAGGTTCCTCACCATCTCCCCGTGTCACGCGGTGCCAGTAGAGTGAGCCCACAGAGTGAAACCATGCAGAAGAGCAGACAATGTCACCGCGCGTGACGTCGCCTCTCGCATTAGAGAATGAATGCGTGTCAATTTGTTTGAAACAGTAACTCGACCGCATGGTCATCCTATCCTTAAAATTGATAGAATCCCGGCAGCACTTTGTCTGATAAGGGCTTTGGCCATTTGTTAGGCACACAGTTGGTTGCTGAGATGGATAGATGGTGCTGTGGAGCATCGTGGTGTACCTGCGACGGGTAGCGCCACGGTGCTGTTCAGGTTGCACAGGTGCCCGTGGCAGCACTCCACAATCTGGTCCCTGGAAGGTGGGGTCTTGCAGGTCAGCGTGCTCTGCTCGTAGACCTTGAAGCAGCCTTTCTGGTAGACCAGGGAGCCGGCGCTGAGCGTCAGGGAGGAGAAACACTGGTGGCCCTTGCAGCGTTTCTCTTTGTCACAGGAGCTGCCCTCACATACACAGTCATGCTCCTCCTTGGTCGGGGGCTTTACTTCCTCCACTGCAGGAGATTCAAGTAGAGGTCACCGCTGATTAATAATGCTTTTGAAAAAACAGAAAGCTTTAAAGCTAAGTAGAGTTAGTCATGAAATGAAATTGCCGTGGGTGACATAAGGTCCGTGGTGAACGGCAGCCAAGAGAAATGTGTAGAATGCGCACAAAGTCACCTTTCCCCGGAGTCTGCACAGTGACGTTCATGTTGCACAGATGGCCCTGGCAGCACTTGATGACATGGGCCGGCATGGCGCAGGTGACTCTGCCCTCCTCGTCGTCCCTCAGGCAGCCCTTCTGTTGGACGGCCACCCCGTCAATCAGCCTCAGAGAGGAGAAGCACTGCTGGCCGGCACAGCGATGGTCTCGCTCGCACACGCCGCCCTCGCACATGCACTGCTGGTCTCTGAGGACCGGTCTGCCAGCAGACGGGTCTATATCTGATAAGATGGGGGGGTGGGGGGGAGGGAGGGGCACCATTTGAGCAATGATATTAGCAGGACAATAAATTACACAGTGTTTACTCAGATCAGAAAACATCTCTCTGCTGGTCCGACTAACAAGGACAGTCGAGTAGATTTAAATGTATGAGTTTTTGGCCGTAGATAATAAATAAATAGAAATGTCTTTGCATATTAAAAACGATGAACCATTCATACGGAAGCTTAAGCAGGAGGTCTTCCACGCCGTGTTACAATGCGAACTCGCTCACCTTTCACCGGCAACTGCAGGGAGACGTTCATGTTGCACAAATCCCCAAAGCAGCACTCTACTACCAGCTCGGGAGTCGGCGGGCTTTCGCATCGCGAGGACCTGTCCTCATTACCCACAATGCAGCCCTTCCGAAGGGCCGACGTCCCGTTCTGTACGGCGAGGGAGGTGAAGCACTGCTGGCCGAAACACCTGTCCCCACGGCCGCAGGACCCCCCGTCACACGAGCATTCAGTGTTTCTCCCGCCGACATCACCTGCAAAAGAGGAGAAAAAACGCAGCGGCTGTAACGCATCCTTGATGCAAAAGGAGCACTTGAACCCCTATTATGCCCCTAAATGTTATGTGGGATAAGATGATCAGTGAATGCTTTGAATATACTGCATCTACTGTCAGTAAGTACGAATCGCCAGCAGTTAAAAAAAAGGCTCCTCTTTCTACAGCAATCCATCGCCACCGCAGTTGTTAAAAATAACACGGCGAGAAAGCAGATGAGAGGGTGACAGACTGGGGAGGGCTGGTGAGGAGAAAAGAAACTTGTGAATTTTAGATAGCGTGTAAAAGACTTGAGGCGGACAGAAACGGACGCGGCGGGCAGACGGATTGTGCGCATGTTGAAAGAGGGAGAGAGACTGAGGGAACTGAGGCATCCAGTGCGCTGCCTTCAGGCTACCACATGGACTCGGGACAAGCGGGGATTTGTTACAAGACACTTACCTTCCAAGCTTGAACAGGGAAGGACCAGGGCGATCAAAGCCAAAAGCAACACGCCTCTCACCGTCATTGTAGAGCTAGAGGGATTAAAAAAAAACAGAGAGAGAAACAAAAAAATGAGGCATCGATCCAATGAATATATGTACATGCAGAGGAGGGGGGGGGACAGAGGGGCGGATAGCGACGGGACACGCCGTCAACTAAACAGCAACAGATAGTCATTTTAGGGGAGAGACCCCGTTTCTGTTTCTTTTCAGACAACACCAAGTTTAAAATGTTTAAAGTGAAGTGGGTCTCAAGCCTTCCCGTTGTCCCGGCAACAAGGCCTTGAGTGGCAAGCAACGGGGAGACTGGTGCTCTATTATTGGCTGCCTCTCTGGCGTGAGCGTGTGCACAGTGATGTCTGTGTGTTCGTCGGAGGGACAAGCTGCTTGGCAGTGAGGAGAGGAGCAGACAGACGAGAGAGGAGGAGGAGGAGGAAGAGGAGATACAAATACAATCATTTAGAGACCTGGAGACGGTCAGATCCTTCAATATTTAATGCGTCTCTCCAAAACGTCCATGTTGTTTGTTTTATCCAGTGACTCCAAACAAACCATCAGTTTCACATGCACTGTGAACTCAAAACAGTTTAAATCCCCTTCAGCAACGCGAGTCGTGTGGAAACGTCGCAGCCCGCAGCGTGCCCCGTTCGTGCCCCTCTGGAGAACCGGGACGGGGGCAGCGTGAGGTCAGAAGCGTGCGTTTGAGCGCCTGAATGCGTCTGCGACACAGATAAATACCCAAGCCCCCCCCCCCTTTGTTTGTTCCCGTCTCCCAGACACATAATGTTAGCGTTAGCCCCAACGGTGGCGTCTGTACGGGCCGCTCGCACACAGACCCCATGCTGCTCCTTTAATCAGAGCACAGAGGCTGCCACACAGAGATAATCGGGAGCTCTGTCTGCTCCCTTTGGACCAGGGCTGGAAGGGAGGGGGGGGGGGGGTGTTGGGGGCAGGGAACGGGCAGCAGGGCACAAGGAGGTAAGGGAGGTGCAGCCAGAGGGCAACCGGGGGGCAGTGGGTCAGAGAACGCAGCAAACGTGGGAGGGAGACGCGCCGACTGGGGGGGGGGGGAGAACAAAGAGGTGTCTGGAGTCAGTGCCCGGGGGAGGGGGGTGGGGGGAGGGCGGGAAGAAGGGCACCGGTGAAGCCAGGGGGGGCTGAAGGAAGCAGGATAAAGAGATAAGCAAAGGGGCAGTGGGGGGGCACAAGGGTCTGGAGCGCATGCTGGAGTCTAAAGCCGAGCAGCGTGTGTCTCACTGGTTGTCTGGATACATACATTGGTGGTGGTGGAGGACGTCAAACAGCAGGACACGTCCAGACGGGTTAGCAGAGCACACCAGGCTCCGTTAAATGGCCTCAATAAGTGGAAGTAGATGATTGCCTTTTGCCCGTTCTTGTTTTCCCATGAGTAAGAGGAATGTATTTGCACATGACCACTACTGTATGCCTGCCCCCCCCCCACACACCTACTCAGATTATTTGGCACAAGTACTGGAAACAAAGTACTCCACCTTTATCCACAAATGAAGCATAGCGAACATATCAACACACACACACACACACCCCCAGTTTCTCATTGCCACTCTTTTGCAACCCCCCAAGAGGCTCTTTTAAAAAATGCCCCCAAGACAAGACGGAGGGGCTCTGGAGGGGGGTGTTTGTGTTTGTCCGGGTTGCAGCGCTCTTTGCCCCTGTTTTGGAATTTCAGAGCTGACATTCTGCCAAGGGTGTGCCCCCCCCCCAACTATCTGACTCAACAGCCTTTACTCCCTTTATATCCTCTGATCCTCTTGTAATAGGAAACCAGTAGAAATGAGATTTTATAGTAATTATATTTAGTTTACTGCTGTTGGATCAAAGAATCTATTGAATCACTAAATCAAGCAGAGCAGCGTTTTACAGGCGACCAAATGTAATTTCACCCAACTATGATTGTTTTACAATGCATGGCATTATGACAACGAGTTAAACATTGGTGGACGTTTCCACCGAAGTGTATCGAGCTCTTGTTTTAAAGTGCAAAGACAGAAGTACAGTGTTTCAAAAAGGTGGAAGCGCTTCGGTATTTCCACTTGATGCCATTCATCATTTCATTTCAATTTGAGTTGCAAATTGATGTTTTATATAAAAAGATGTCGAGGATTTAACAAACAGAGTATGAAAAGAAGCATGTTTGTAAAGGGCTCCCTTTGCACAAGCATTACTACCATCGCTTCAATTTCTGAACATAGTTGCTTTTACTGTACATTAGTAAAGAATGTTAACGCTTTTTTCAACAATGTTTTCATCAATGGCGCTGAAAATGCGCAAGCATCGGCCGTGCTCATGGAAGCACATAAAACCACACTGAGCTCAACAACAAGGCACTTAGAGTGCGTACAACCCCAGAGAGAAATAGTTGCGATGGACTTGGCTCCCGTGGAAAGTGTGCTTGGGTTTACTCCTGGCGAGTGCTGCTGTGGGGAGGGGGGGGGGGACTCGACAGTGATCCTACTTATCAGGGGCCCGGCTTTCCGACGCCGCGTTTCCTTCCCAGACTCTTCCCAGTGATCCCACTCCACAGGGCTATCTTGATAAGCGCTTCTCTAGGATGAGCAGAGCTTTAAGTGATTGGGTGGAAATGATTAAAGCGTGCCACTCAAACATTGAGGTTGGTACAGCCCCAAAAAGGGGCAGCCGGTTGGCAGTTATGATCATTTGAAACCACTCTGCGACGCATTCCCTCTCAAGTCTACTACGACGTACACCCACACAAATTTGCATGAGCGTACATTTTCCCCCCCCCATCTACTTCACAAAAGCTTTCACGAGCCAAACAGGAACATAAAAGTCTATAGTGGCTGTCTGTGGGTCAAGGCGAGGGGGAGGATGACAAAACAGTAAAGAGAGCAACGATGCACCACTGGGTGATGAGGGGGAGGGGGGGAGAAGCCCCTGCGGGAGCCGCTGAGTCATCACGCTGGCGAAGATGGAGACGGGAGGCGGAATCTGTGTCTGAGAGCAGGCAGGCTGGCACGGTTGCCATGGCACAAATAGCCGGGGCACCGAGGAAGCTGCGGAAAGAAGAGCACGAGCGTTGTGGCGGGAGATGGGGGGGTGGTGGGGGGTGAGCCTGGGGGGCTGCTGTCCCCGTCCTCATCCCCTAACCCAGACAGCCAAAGAGCCAGCATGCCATCAGGGACACACAGATGGCTGGCTCCTAGGTGGGTGGAACACAGACCTCGGGGCGAAAGTCGTCCTCTTTGCGGTCCCACGTTAACATTCACACTGCGGCTCGCTCGCCTCAGCCGTGAAGAAGAAGAAAACATAATATTCTCTGCCTTCAGACGAACGCAACACTTGGCATGACTGAGATACACAACCTGAACATTTAAGTAAGTCACGAGGGAGTACGTCCTCGCACTTGATGCAATGAATTATGTCTTTAAAAAAAAGAAATTGGGGTTTGATTTATTAAAAACAATCATCTGAGACTTTAAATAAATACAGGAATGGTGAAGCGATTGAGGACTGATTGGATGGGCCTTGTCACCTCGTGGAAAAGGCTGCACGTGTAGTTGGCTGACTGCTTACATGCGACATTGGCAACCTTGCAACTCTATTACACGTCACACTGTGCAAGATGGAGCCAATGAAATCTTGTACCAGATCTGTGTCAGGCTACATTTGGAATGTGCAACGAATGCCTGCTGACATTTAGGACTACGGGCAAAAAAGAAGCGGTAGTCAAAATCATCCGTGCTGCCTTTGCAATTTAAAAAAAAACTTTAAAAAAAAAAGAATTCAGGCAGAATTAGCAATTATGAGCGTTCAAAGAATTTGGTCCTTTGCTAAAGTGGACACGTCTCTCGCTGTGACTCAAGGACGCGTCACTGGCGGCGGTGGCCGTGAGCGGCGCCGTGCTCGGGCCGGGCAGCCCATCGGACAGCCAGATGGTCGCCCGCCTCGCAGAGCAGGCCGATGAGCGAACATCAAGGCAGGCATTATGCTTGATGAAGGCAAATATTCTCTGACAAGTAAACATCCAGTGACTCACTAAAGGGAATCACGACACCCTTTTCTTCTGCTCCAACTTGGCTCTCGCCGGCACGCCGTTAAGCACAAAACCAGAAGCAAAAACGCAGAGATATTTAGGGGAATAAAAAAGGAACCAAAACCAAAAAGGTGTTGTACCGGCAGCAGGGTGGACACGGAGCTCTCTGCGGCGCTGTGACCTTGTCTGGTGGAGCTGTGAAACGCAGGCTGCCCCCCCGCCCCCCCTCCTCTCCACAGCCCCGGTCCTTATATCCGGTGTCAGAGAGCCAAAGCAGGGCTCGATAGGCGAGGGCCTCGTTGAATGCGGGGACGAGTCTGCAGAGCCCCATCGGGTGGAGCCGGATCCTTACAGTATCTCAGCAGCTGCCTCCTTTCACAGTGTGAGCAATGTAATCAAATGCAAATCCCCCCCCAACGATCGCTCACACATTCATTGCAGTGGGCAACGGCATAGAGGCTTTTTGTTCCTTGGCTACAGAGTAACGGTACACACACACACACACACACACACACACACACACACACACACACACACACACACACACACACACACACACACACACCCAAGCTTTGTATTCGCCCTAGTTCAGATGTAATCAGAGACAAGATTGCCCTTTTTTTTCCTGTTGTCTTTCCACCCGAGCCCTTTTTTTTTCCAGACATCACAGAACAAAACCTAAAACCTCCATGTTTCCCAGGGGCCTGGGAGAGGGGGGGGGGGGGGGGAATCAGCAAAGTTTTTATTATGGTTTCCAAAAAAGGTGTGAGGTCTCGTGGGACAGAGCTTGGGAGACCTTAGAGCATTGTGAGGAGGCAGTTAGCGGGTCGTCCACGCAGCGGTCACCATAGCAATTAGCCTTTTATCACACGGCCATCAAGACATCTGAAACGGCCAATTCAAACACCATCTCTAAGGCCCCCGGCTATGTTTGCCGACCGAGGAATGCACAAACACTCTCGCTCAAAAGACGACCATCTCGCAAAGTTCACCGCCCACCGCCCACCCCCCTCTCAAAAGACACCTTGATTTGTATCTCCCCCTTAAAAAACACATGCTCCTCCTCGTGAAAGCCATAAATCCGCCGAGCAGACCAGCGAGACTTCTCAGGAAGGAGCCGAGCAGAGAAACGAAGAGCTTCTCGTGTGAAGGGCCCGGCCAACGGGTCAACAGGTTTCTGTGGGTTCAATTGGGAGGATTCGATATTGTGGGGAAGGGTGGGGGGGGGGTCAATGAATCAAAGTGAATTGTGATGATACTTGTCATCTAACGCACTAAAGATCACCCAGAATAATTTGTTTCAGCTTTTGAAGATGTGAATCTACAATGTGTTTTTTTAAGAGTCTGAAATGGAGTGGACAAGAAGAAGAAGAGAGGCCGCTTCCAAAACGGCAACAGGACGCAAACGCGGTAGAAGCACGTATTCCATCTTTCGTACTCCCCCCCCCCCAGTCTCCCCTCCCAACTTCCAGTGTCATGCTGAGACAGCATCGCCTGCAAATCCCAGACAGCTCCTCTCATCGTGATATGTTTGGGCTGCGTAAAGCTGACGATTATTAAAAGGCTCAAGGATTTTTGAGACTAAAAATAACACCGCAGACAGAAGGGGCCCCTTTCGAAAAAGGCCGGACGCGAGCACAGAGCCGAGGCAAACTCGACCCACATGCTGGCGGCTCTGCCTGATGCCAGGTCGGTTGCTTGTCAAACTTTCTAGCAAAATCAGCAAATGCACATCGATGAACGTGCGCACACACACACAGAATATTTGGTCAAAACTGAAGCGAGGTTGCTGCAATGAGGTCTCGACTTCGAGTACAAACACACACACACACGTTCATGTGTTGTCTCACACACGCACAAACACACATTATCCCCTCCCTCACCTCAGAGCTACCTCCATGGAGGAAACTCCTGCTCAGACTTGAAGCAGTCTATCTTGGTGTTACAACTGCAGTTCTTTTGTTAATGACAGACTGTGTAACCCGATTCCACACACAGACACACTCTTGTTTTCTTTGGAGCCGGCGCCTTGGTCTCCTTCCACTTGCACATTGTACCAAACCCCAAACTGAAAGGTGGTCCTGACAGCCAAATTACTGAGCACAGAGAAATGATGGCTATCAGAGGCCTAGAGCCCCCCCTATACACGCATCATACTCTGAAATGCTCAGACCGAACGAAGCACGCCACATCCATCAGCCACAGCTGTGCACTGATGCACATCTGCAGCCGGCGAAATGGGGAGTCAGAATGGTGCAAACGAAAGCTCGACCGAGGCCTGAGTGGGAGAACTTTGTTTAGTTTAGAGACGGTATTTTTGATGACAGTTGTTCAGACCCACCGGCTTCCCCTTTCCCGCCAAAGAGTTCAAAAACACAACGACGGAAGCAGCAAATCATCGACATGGAAGAAGTGGGAAGAGATGCGTGTTGGACGTTTACGTTTTCTTGATAAATCGCTCTGAAGCCGAAAACCGCTTTCTCAAAATGGACTGAACGATTCTCCATGGGAGGTTTTTGCTTCCATTCGCGTGATCTTTGTTTTTTTAAGCATTGTTATCCAGACGCACGTAAGGCCGAACTCTTCAGCATTCCAAGACATCCCGAAACAGCGTGAGTGTTGAGCATTGTTGGCCTCACACAGACTGGGTTGAGTTACCGCAATAAACAACAACCCCAGCGAAAGGCCAAACAATAACATTGTTGTAAATCCGAAGATGCTGAGGAGGGGCGGCCATTACCTTGACTGAATGGAACTAGGTGCCCACGACCCCCCCCTATCTTAGCCTCAGACTGCCTGCCGACTTTTATTATCAGCCCACTATCAGCCAGACTCCAGGACGCGAGGCACCAAGAGCGGCGGGCACGCACTCGGTGCAGGCTTCCTACCCCCACTCCCCCCGTCACCCCCCACCCCCTCGACCTCAGTAGCTGGTCAGCCAACTGCACGAAACCCACACACGGCCGCCACCACCCATAACAAATCAACCCTAGCGGGATTTCCTCTAATCCGGCCCAAGGGAGGAGATCTCCAACAACAACAACAACAACAAATGCAACGCATGGCCGTTTTGGGGGGGCTGATCCATATTGATGAAGCCATCAGAGCCCATCACTGGCATGTTGGAGAGGGGGGGTGTGTGCATCAGACATTCAATCCCACAGGGATGCACTAAAATAAATAAATAAATGCACATCCGAGCGCTGCACAGACCTTTGGAGTATCATTGGAGAGAGAGAGAGAGAGAGAGAGAGATTAGCATGTGGGAATGTCTTTTCTTTACGGTGAGTGGGTTCGGAGGAAGAACACTCGGGTGTGAGACGTTCCCTTTCACACGTCTTATAATCTGCGCAATTATCCCTTTAACACCTTGGTAATGAAGTTTGCACCCTCTCATCAGCACGTCTGCCCCGGCCTCGCATTGCATTGGCCTGCATACAATCTTATCACGTAACACGTTTGGTCTGATTGTCCCACAGCAGGGAGGGAGAGGGGGGGGGGGGTATTAATATACCCAATAACTTAAATGGCACTTTGTTGCAGACTAGTTTTAAATCAAACCACGGACCATCGTGAGCAATAATATATATGTGTGTGTGTGTGTGTGTGTGTGTGTGTGTGTGTGTGTGTGTGTGTGTGTGTGTGTGTTTTGGGATCTCCCCCCACCCTCCCCAGGCCCGCGATCGTGATGTTAAACTGCTCAGCGTGGGATGATGAGACACAATCGAGCGGCGGCGACCCCTCCCCGAGACAGTTTGCATGAAAAAAAAAAAACACTTAACAAAGTCACGACGAGTTGCAAAGTCGCTAGCTGCAAGTTGCTAGCTGTGACGTAGAAATCACAAGCTGGAGTCCGAGACGTCGATTTAGTCTCCATTCACAAATAACTGAGCTAAAATCAAAACGCAAACAGGCGTTGGAGCTGGTTAGTTAGACATGGCCTCTGAATGTAAAAGGTATACAATGCAGGTATCTTATCACACGACCCAAGATGAAGAAGGTTTAATATATATATTATATATATATAGTTCGTTTAACATTTTCCACTGCGAATCGGTAAACGTCTGAAGGTGTCGCGGTCTCTCCCTGCGTCGGGCCGACGGGGTGATTAAACTTACCGTGGTGGTTTGGTCGTTTGATTTTTCCTTCCAACTGCTTGACGAGAGCTCGGTGAGTGTCGCGGGTCGAAACTACTGAGGCATCTCTTCGACAATTCACAGACGACCCCCCCCCCCCCACCAGCACCAGAACCACCAGCACCACCAGCAGCCGACGTGTGTTTCCCGAAGTCTGGAGCGCGGAGCTCGGCGCTACATGACGCCGACGGCAACGTCCGTCGTTCCGCTCGGTGGAGAGAAAAATAAGGGGAAAAAAGTGACAAATTCACGCGATATTCAGAGGAGAAGAGCCGTAAAGACTCATTGTGGGTTTTTTTGGGGGGGGACAGACACTATTTGCCTCTTCACAAAAAACACCGGCGCGTTCTGGGCATTTACAACTCGCACTGGAATCCACGAAGGCAAAAAAAAAAGAAGCCACGGTTGGAGGAAGTTACCTTTGCGACAACTCTCTGTAATTAGGCAGCGTAAGACGAGATGGGCTTTTCCGGTTAAGCTTTTCAAAATAAAACAAAGTAGAGCTTCGCCCCTCTTTTAGATATATTTCCAACAATAATTCATGTAAAAATTAAATGAATGTAGTTTGCAAAAATATAATAAGGCAAAGCCAAATAGTTGCCAAATGCAATTATTCTATATTTACTGATGCATTGTACCTATGTGTAACAAGTATTGCATTGTATTATCTACTTCTGCTATCTTCTGTTTGCATTTCAGGGGAAATGTTGTAATAGTTACGTTTGAAAATGGTATATTTACATAAAAACACACAACCTCATTGAATTTATTAAGCTATCCCTATACTGTACGCTTAACCGCCTATCAGTGAAAAATTCTACTTTCCTATGAATACATAATTATTAATATAACAGAATATCATAATATGAATATAAATATAATTTTCTAGATTCTACATATTCTTTGGAGATGAGATTTTCATTAACTGTCACGAATGGCTGGATTAAGCTGGTGAGGGTCGTATAAGGGAAAATACGACCATTATCAAACGTAGCCCCCCTCTCACACTATTCTTGTGTACAGCCTCGCTATCTTAGAATGAGGCCAACCTCAATGTGCATACACACTAATGTTAGATTGGTCCCATTTGTTTCCCCATCTTCAAATGAACCACCAATTCTCCAACGATGCACTGCGTTTTTAATCTGAAGCAATCCCGAGCATGTCCTGTAACACACCTGTTCTCTCTGACTAGCTTGACCTGCGCAGTAATTAAATGACCATTGCTATTTCGCCTCCTCTGCGCATGATCCCGACTCAATAAAGGGTTCCAGCTTTTCACCACATAACAGTTCAGACAACACGAATGTTCGCCATGTTTCTGAAACAAATATAACCAGTGAGCAAAAATAATTCCATGAAATCCTTGCAAATGATGTTTCAACATATATGTCTTTGTAAAATGCATGACTAAAGAGACCCTGTCATTATTTCATCAGTTAACTAACGTTAAGTAACTGAGAGTGGCGCAGAACCCTCCTGTCTTCAGCGCACGAGGCGCAGCACGGCGGTTGCTCCGCAGCCTGCGCCTGAAGTCCGTTTCCACGGCAACGCGGACAGAAGTTCCAAACAGGAGTCTCCGCTAACGCTCCGTCCGGCAACTGAAAATGTTTTCAGAGTAAGTTTTACGGGGATTAAATTATAACCAATTACGCCTGTGTTGTAAAGACCGTGTTCCCACTGGCGTACTGGCGCCGACATTCGGGAATTGTGTTTCTTATTTACGGAATGAGTAAATTAGCCAGCTAGTTAGCCAAGCGGCGCTAACGTCAATGGCAATGCCGTAACGGCTCGATGGCTTTTTGTCTCCGTTTCCAATAGAAGCGTGTCAGATGACGTGATTACCGATCAGTCACCGGCATCACCCGGCAAGTATAACATTAACGGTTTGTCCACACCTGTTGGACCCTGGTGTGAGTTGGTGTTGTCACGTACCACTGGTGTGGCAGTGCGTGTGGTACAATGGATCATGTGTGTGTGTGTGTTTTGACATTGCAGAAGAGCAATCAGGGTATCAGGTGATAAATGGCCAGATCTCCCAGATTCCAGGACTGTCCCAAACCATCGGGGCCCTTCCTAACGAGAGGGCCCAGGGCCGCAGGGCCGGAGTCCTGGAAAGTGACTCGGACTATGTCAAGCTTGCAAAACAAGGAGGGCATAAGGGTACGACCATGCCATTGCCTTGTCTGGACCATCCCTCTAACTGGTTGAGGCATTATATTTATTTCTGTCCTTAATTCCAAACAGGACTTTTATGTCACGAGGAAACATTTACCTCTAAACCTCAACGATACCGACCTCCAGACTGGTTCTGCACTGAATCAGGAGACAACGACAAACCGCGGTAACATATGTATTTTTTTAAATCATGCACAAGGAGTATGAATTGAGTATGAAAAAATACTTCCTGACTAACCCTACTCATTGCTAATGTGCTGCCAGCACTGTTACAGTTCTGACCTTTACTATTCTTACGGATGTTACGAGTGACATAAGAGCAATATAAACAGTAACAATAATAATCACATCTTCAATGTATAATCCAGCTAGCATTAAGTGAAGGATACAAGTCGTGTATCTATACTGTGTGTGTTTTTCGACAGTCTAATTAACAGTGAGGAGAAGAAAACCCCTGGAGCTTTTCAACCAGCGGAGCCCCCTTTTGGGACTGACAACATGTCAACCTGGGAGAGGGACGACACCAGCAGCAATGACAAGGAGAAGGTAAACAAAGGAATGCCAAAGACGTTTAGAAAGTTAGCTAGCTATATATATATATATTTTTATTTTTTTTAAAGACTACAATCGGGGCGTGTCAGCTCCTAGTTTTACACACTGTTGCTTAATCGGGCAGAAAGGCTTTGTACTACAGCTAAATACTTCTTAATGGCTTGTATTGAAAATTAGATTACAACAATAATCCCCTAAATATCCAGGCGAAATCCCAGCTATATTTACCATCACAATGTAACCACCACGTATTTCTTTGCTTTGTGTTCTGCAGAACAACAACGTTCATCCCAGTCAAAGGGAGAAACTGCAGTCAGCCGCACGATATCATGAGAAAAACAAATACAAGAGGATGTAAGTTCATGTGGTCGCAAGATGGTGCTGTTGTCCCGTATTCTATTCAGTACAAGCGGCCGGTGTCTCACAATGCCACTGCAACTCACAAAAACCATAAACCAGGGGGTCTTATTGTGTCAGACCACATCAGACATTTCAGGCGTAAGTGATAGCAAACTGTTGGCAACTCAATATTATTAAACCTTTACCATCACTTTCATTTCATAGTTATTATCGTAACAAAACACATATTGTAGATAGATGGCTGAATTGTAATTCTTTGCATTTCAGAGCATATTACCAGTAAATTCTTCACCTTTCATCCATACAAAATGAGCTGATAAAGCAGATATGCTCATGAGCAGGGAGCAGGCCGAGGTCAATCGAACATATTCCAAACAAAACAGGATGTTCACATCACCCGTTTGCTTTGGCTCACTGCTCGCCTGTGCCGCGTGGTCGTTGGACCTTCACGAAAACACAAATGACTCATCAAAAACCCGAAAGCTACCTCAGATCAGAGCGACCCAGACAAAACAGTTAACACTGTGTTTATAGTGCATGTATGGTTTGGATATTTAACTTCGGCAAGTCCAAAAAAGTTCCACTAAATCCTACAGTCATTATTTTCTTCATGGCCGTGATGTAATAAACTAAACCGTCTCAGTACAAAATATTGACTTTGAGAGTCAAAAGAGCAGGTCAGAAATTTCCTGGAACAAGTGTAACTGAAAAAATACACTTATTTTTAAAGATTGTTTATTTCAAAGATTGAAGATTAAAAGATTACATCTGAGATTTTGTTTCTTTTTGAGATGTCTACTTTTAAGAGTTGGTGGTTGTGTGTAAAATGAATGAAATGATTATTAGAAAACAAACATTGTATTTGCTTTGCTGAGAGATCTTTGCCGATGAGCAGTCCGAGTTTACCTTGGCAAACATTGTTAGAGGGAAGGGCCCATATTGAAAGTGTGTGTCTAATCTAATTGACACTTTGTGGAGATGGGTTTCATTTTCATGAAATGCCTTTCCATGACATTTGAACACTGTGTTCTTTCTCAGATTACATGACAAGAATCCGGCTCCTGTCAACATGTCCAAGCTGTTGAGTTTCGGTTATGCTGAAGACGACAAACCAGCAGCCAACATTGACCTTTCAAGTAAGTAACTGTGACGCTTTGAGTTTCAACCTCCCAGGTCGCTGTTAATCATTTCCTCTCTTGCTTTTTTCATCGTGCCATGGAAATTCACCCCAAGACAATAAAGGGGAAAACATGCGATTTCAGCCATTAAGAATTGAATGACGTCTCTTGACAATATTAGAGTATTATTAAATTATGACGAGGTGAATGACTTGTGATGTATACCTTTGCATGTCAACAGATTAGAAGACTGCCAGTGCCGTGGGAAAAAAAGATGTAAAAACCCCAATGCTTCCAGCAGGAATAGGTTGCCATTCCTCCTCCATTTCTGAATTTCTTAAACCTCTCATGAAGAGCAACAGCAAATGTTTTTAATTAGTTTCGAGTGATCTGTCATTTTAGATGTATTACTCAAGTGTTCGAGTCCTTCAGTGAATTAAAGCTAAAGAGCCTTTTATTTATTTTAGTAGTGCCTCCTTAACTGCAATCTTTAGGTGGAGAAGGCGCCAGCAAGTTTTAGTTTTTTTCTGTAACTGTATCGCTGTGAAGGGCCACTTTAAGGAATATAAGTTTGATTATTTCAATAAAATATAAAGTGATTTTAAATGTTTTAAATGTTTTCAAATTTTGTCTTATATAAGTGTGCATTATATTTCTCCTCACTGGATGACATTTTAATGGTAGGAATTTTCCACATAATTCTTTAACATTACAGCAAACAATGTTTCATTGCCTCAGATCAAATGTGTAACTACGGTAACCTGCACAACGAAGAAGCGGATGTAGTTTGCAGTTAAAATGTGTGTGCGTGCGTCTTTCGTCGTATTACCACAACAACGTATGACATGTCAGTGTCAAGAGGTTATGTCCCTGTTCTCTGGGTAAGTGCATTTTTACATAACATCTGTGTTTTTCCACCCTCCGATGGGTTTTATTTTTGAAGTTAAACCGACGCTGCGACTGGTGGATGTTTTTGAGCCACCTACGACAGGTGCTACTCCTCTCTTTACAACCAATCAGGGAGCAGGGTCAAAGGTCAACGCTATATCAGCTGTGCAGTCAGACACAGCGTTTTCATAAACATTCGTAACAAGTATTTGGAGTTTTTTGCAGAAGAACTTTTAAAGACATTTTAAACTGGATTTCAAAGCGTCTCCTGCAGTCATGTCACCAATTTTACTTAACTGTTTGGGGAAGGACCCCAATGAGTACATCAAGTAAGTATTTGGGAACATCGACTCAGATTAGATTGGACTATTGTTTCTTGATTGAGCCTTTATTTATATGTCGTAATATATCGCTCATAGGGAACTAGTGCAAGTGAAAAATCCCTACCTGGACGGCATGGAGGAAGATATTCTCTACCACTTGAGCCTGAGCACCAAGACTCACAATCTTCCAGAAATGTTTGGAGATATTAAGGTTTGCAACATTTTTAGATCAAAATAATAATTTGGGTCTTGCGATTTCCAAAGCGAGGAAAGTAAATTCCCTCCCGCTCTCTCTGTTTCCCACAGTTTGTGTGCGTCGGAGGCAGCGCAAACCGAATGAAGGCTTTCGCCCAGTTCATCCACAAGGAACTGGAACTGAATGGAAACCCAGAGGAAGTCAGCGATATCTGCGAGGCAACTGACCGCTACTGCATGTACAAAGTAGGACCAGTGCTCTCAATTAGTGTAAGTATTACAGAGCTACAATGTACGCTCCTAGTCGCCATCCCACTTTGACTGGCTTTGAATACTGCGTTACTGGTTTGATGTGTTTGTGCTCATTCTGGATTCATTTCTATCCTGATCTTGTTTCTATCACAGCATGGAATGGGCGTCCCTTCCATCTCCATAATGCTGCATGAGCTCATCAAACTGCTGCACCACGCTCAGTGCCGTGATGTTGTCCTGTTTCGCCTTGGAACGTCCGGTGGTGTTGGTAAGCACGCTGCATTTCGTTTCGGAAGGGTGCCTTAGCAGAATTTCTCCTCCATTCGACCGCGTATAGTGACATTTTCTGGTGTCATCTCCAGGTCTGGCTCCTGGGACAGTGGTGGTCACGGATAAAGCGGTGGACTACTCCTTCCTCCCCCAGTTTGAGCAGGTGGTCCTGGGTAAAGTCATCACCAGGAGCACGGAGCTGGACGAGGGAGTAGCCAAAGAGCTTCTGCAGTGCTCCTCCGAGCTTCAGAACTTCCCTACGGTGATCGGAAATACCTTGTGCACCCACGACTTTTACGAAGGTAGACGCAGCGCCTCGTGCTCTGGGCGTCCGTGACCATTGTGTGCAGAGAACCTTAAGTCGGTCGTATAGTGACACATCTTGTCCTGCGTCTCTCTATAGGTCAAGGCCGACTCGACGGAGCTCTTTGTTCCTTCTCCCACGAAGACAAGCTGGAGTACCTGAGGAAGGCATACGAGGCCGGCGTGAGGAATATCGAAATGGAGTCCTCCGTATTTGCGGCTATGTGCCGTGTCTGTGGCCTCAAAGGTAGTGTTACGAAATGTATGCGGTACATTCTGTACAGTGACCCTGACCGTGTCTGGTCTTTGAAGATACCATCTGGCTCCATACATTGGTCATAAACTGTACACAATACAGAGCCTCGATGGATTTATGATTTAACACAATGACATAAGAGGAAAGTAGCACGTAAGATATGAACAATAATCTCCTTTTTCTCTGCAGGAGCTGTGGTCTGTGTTGCATTGCTGAACCGCTTTGACGGAGACCAGATCACCGCCACTCATGATGTCCTGGTGGAGTATCAGCAGAGACCTCAAATCCTAGTATCCCACTTCATCAAGAAACGCCTGGGTTATGTTGTATGAAATCTCTATGTCTGCCACCCCAACCCCACCTTGCCAAACGGAGTGTATATAGCTGATATGTGCATTTGTGTATATACTATATTTAACAAGTTAATATGTGTATTAGACACTTATTTAAAAAGTTGTTTTCATGATTGAATCTGTGAAGCTCAAATATAAAGTATGCATCATACTTTATATTTGAGCTTCATCAACTTTCATATACATATAAACATGTATATGAAAGTGTGAATCATATTGTTTGATGTGTAGCACCCTGGTATTTATGTAAGGTTTGTGTTGATTTCTATATTTTACTTGAACTTGTAACAAAAATTGTTGTGTGTATTAGCAAGTTTGGAAATGATTTGCCTCCATAGGAGGTTCGCACCTGTTAGAAGCCTTTACGAGAGCATTTATTATTCCTTTTTAACTTTTATTATAATACAGGAAGTGATTCCTGTAAGAGATTCATATGTACTTGTTTCTTCCACACAACTGTCAAGACATGTTGACAAATGTGTAGATAGGTCATCTTCCTCTGGTACATGTTTATTGTCACTCAGTGATACTGGCTTTGTACAAACGTTCAATAAAAGTAAACAATAGTAATTGCACTGTGTAAATGTGAATACAAGTGCAGCTTATTGAAATGTGGACATATACGTAATGTGTTCCCAAACAAGCCCCCGGTCAGAGTTTGAGTGTGGACTGGGTGTCTCGTCTAGGTGGTCTGAGTGGGTTGAGAACAGACTGGACCTCTTTGGCGTACTGGCTGTTGTGCAGACCAGCCTCCCGCAGAGCCTGCTCCACCCGCACTCTGGGATCAGACACAATCTGAGAAAACACATATAAAAACAGAAAAAATACACATCAGCAGTTTCACGCTAAAAAGCGGTACTGTGTCTGTGCATGTAACACTAAACAAAGTGAATCGCTAATCCTTCACGGTTTCATATTTAAGGAGAAGGTTTGTCTGAGCGACAAATCATTAGTCACTGCTTGTGTTACGCAACAAGCACATTCCAACCTCGGTGAAAAAACCCACACGCAGGGAGAGGTTTAGCGACCGTGAGGCCTTGAGGTCAAGGCTGAGTATACAAGTCTCTGACATGAGGTAGAACATTGATGGACCAGACAGCCAGCTTACATAATTGTCCTGCATTGCATTGGGTCACTGGTCACTTTCACCTAAGATGAAACATTAATAATTAACAGTAATAATTCCAACAAAAGCTAAAGGTTATCGGAGGGTAGGTGTTGTAATGCATCACCTGTGTGTCCGTGTACGTATAGAGAGGCCGTTGGGGCTCAAACTCCTTAACATCCAAGAGTCGACGCCTCCAAGCCTCCGTATCTGACAGCATCCTCTGAGGGTCCGACTCCGCCACCACCCTGACCTTAAGAGGGAGGAAAAACATTCACCATCGGGATCATTTTCTTTTTTTATTTACCGCCATTGGGTGGCAGCGATGTCTCAACTCAGATAAGGAGGAGCCCAATTCTTCTCCCTGGGTCATTTCAACAGAGGAGACATCAGTGATTCAGGGGGCTTTAAAGATCCACCTGGTCCCTGAGAACTTCCAGGCGATTCTGTTTCTCTCCTTCTTCTCTCAGCCGCTCGAGCTCCTGCGCCTCCCTCTCCTCCCTTCGCCGCTGCAACATATCTGCCCGAAACAGGACCCTGGAGGGAGCAGAGAGGAGGTGGACGTCAGCCCCAACCAGGACCAACGTTATCTATTGCTCCTGACACAGCAGGCCTCCGGGCGGCGGAGGGTTTTGAGGAGCAGCCAGAGAGAAGCTCCTCTCCCTTCGTCTTCGCATTAAAAAAAATAAAAAATCTGTTCCTCAGCACCGGCATGATTGCCGCTCTCGCTCCTGCCAAGTTCATTCTCACAGCCAAAGTCAACATCATTATCTGGGTTTAATGCCGGTCTCTCTGAGCGCCTGCAGAGAAATGCTAAGCAAAACTAGCCTTAAACTGCAAGGCAGTTTCTCACTGCTCCCTCTAGGCGAATGTTTCAAGCTTATTGGTGGGTTGAAGGTAAAAACAGCAGCATCCAGCTGTGGTCCCTATGGCCGTTTGGGACGTAGGTGTTACTTTCAGCATCTCTTTGAAAACTCAAGATCCCGTGGTGGTCACCTTTCTTTATCTCGCCTTGCCTGATCTTCCATGAGGCTCCGTAGATTAGCGAGTCTCTCTTGATCCCTGGCCTCCAACGTCTCTCTCCTCTTCTGCTGCTGTAAATAAAACTGCCTGACCTGCGGACAAAAACAATCATTTACAAAGAAGAACAAAAACCTAACAACTGCCGCAGGAGGAGAAGCCACAGTCCCATTCATTTGACTCCCACAGAGCTCCTTAGATCGTCATGTCCTATTGATTGTGGCAGAGCAGGAATCAGATAAGTGTAAATAGAAAGGATGAGATGATATTTCAATGCCTCGCAGACTATTGCGCTGAATTACATGAAATCCAATGCAGCCTAAATGCTCTCATTAATCAAAGTGTCTCAGGTCGCCCGTACTCTCTGCGAGCAGAGCCCTGAGAAGCCAGTTAATTAAACAGCCACACAAACACACACATTGTGGATAGTTGTACCTGTGAGGACAACAACTAGATTAAAATGATCAAAATACCCAGATAATTGCACGGTATATGCTTTTAATTTGATCTGTGCGAGGCAATAAAAAAATGTCAATGTATCAACAACAGGGAGGCAAGCATTATTTATATATATATATATATATATAGTTATCCATACACTCACCAAAAAGTTTTAGAATGTGCTGATGTGCCGCGTATGATTTGGGGCTTTTGACAGCTCCATTTTTCCAGTAATACCATTTCTATTTGTGTGCCCAGGCCTTCAGGTATCCAGCTGAGCCAATACGACTCTTTTGATGGATAAACTTCCATCAAAGAATATCTCTTCTATAACTTTTCCCCGTTAAAATATAGAGCAAGTTGTATAATGCATTATCTTGTTATTCCTCCCTTAAGATATACCAGGTAGTTCAAGGTAATATGTTGTGCACACACCATATGAATGCAGTGGGCACAGGATAAAATGCCACTTGCTATTGTATCTACAAAGAATATTTAAAATACCTATTTGTGGAGATGAGATTTTACTTGGTTTGATCATAATGCATGTGATGAATATTGTGAAATCACAAAAAAGGACACAGAAAAACGTGCTACTTTCAGTGCGATAGGTGTGATGTTTACCTTCTCTTTGTGCTGCGATCTGACGGCAGCCTCTTTCTCCTGCCCCCTCTTTAGCATCGCTTCTTCCTCCTCCCGCCGTCTAGAAGCTATGGCCGCCTCCAGCTTCGCCACCTCCTCCTGCTGGGCCCGCCACTCCCGCAGCTACGACCACAAATACACACCAGGGTGAAACGAAACAAAAGAATCCGGTCCGTTAACAGCTGTCTTGACGGAATCCATCACACACACAAGGGGGACCACCGGCCGAGACCCTCTGCCGACGTGTGGCACGGATTTAGGAAGGAGGTGTCAAGGCTTTTCCTTCTGTCACCTCAGGACACGTCGAAGCACTGAATTATAAAGAAAACCCTTGCGTTTGAGGCCTAAGACAAATAGAACATATTCTAGTCACTGCTTGTTCTGTCTTCATGTGGAAATTAAGGTAAGTACAAAAAAAGTCACCTTGATGCCATCCACCTTTTAAACGTTATTACTAACTTTTAGATTAAAGCTATTACGCAACAATGTAGCCCCGAAAAATCTGACTTTAATGACCAGGAATTTAATAAACAACTTTTTGTAATTGTCCAAATTAGCTTGAAAGGCTTCTATGAACATTTGGTAATGATCCAACATGTGAATACATAGTCCAGATTAAAAAAAAATCAAAATCAAATCAAAATATTTATCCTCTAAAGGTGTGTTCACATGGTTTGATTTCTTGCAGAGAGCCCAATCTTCACTCACCCAGCTGGCCATCTGGAAACAGACGGCCTAAACTCATCACACATGCACACAGTCAGTCCAGCATTTGCTGAGGGGTGAGCGACAGGGTGGTTATGCATCAGCATTCCGATCGGGCGGACAGATTCACAGATCTGTCAGTGGAGAGCTCAGTAATCCCCAAAAGGGATGAGCTGCGTATTAACATGGTCTCACCACACATTAGCACGAGTGGTATCATCAAGTCAGCCTGCAGCAGCTGGGCGTTTGAGAGGGGGCTTCAAACACCCCCGCCCCTAATCCGGCTCCAGCTGACCGCGATGAAGCCGTAGATGCAACAAGCGTCTTCTTTAGAAATCACAATGTTCCCTCATGCAGACATTTAGGGTTGATGTTTAGGGTAAAGAGCAATCCAGAGTAGTGACTGAGTAACTACCATAACTGTCCTGCTGCTTTTTCCTTTCCTCTATGTGATGATTGATGATTAACATGGGTTGAAAAAAAAAGAAAAACGCCATGACAGATTCTGATGCGCGTCATCCCTCGACTTTCTCTCCTTCCCCTCCGAAGAGGAAGTGAAAGAACCTTAACTTTTAGAAAAAAAATAAAACCCAGAAAATGAAGCGCAGATAATTAACCCACCCAAACTCCGGCCGGGCGCCGATAAGAGATACCTGTCGGATGTTAGGGACATTGAGAGAAGAGGTGTGTAAACAACCTGGTAGGGCTGTGTAGCATGTTTGGTTTTTTAGATATACAAACTAAAAAACAAAGATTTGTCACATTGGGGATAACACTATCTTTGGCATGAAGGAGGAGCAGTAAAGTTCAGTCGCATCGGTCATTCGAGGTCACACAACAATCTGATGTGTGTCTTTACAGCACAGATCCAAAAGCGCAGAGAGAGACATATTGGTCGAATGGATTTTGTCTGCCTTTCCTCTTAAGGCAGAGATGAAAAGGCATTTTAGGCGGCACAAAGAGAATAAAACGGTTATTATGTACGGTCTGCAGTAATTTGTCCCAGAGTCTCTCTGTGAATTCAAAAGGAAAGAGGACACAATCCCTTTTCATGGCAGCATAAATATGACTCCACATGTCAGAATAACAAAATAATTACAGCCTTTTTATCTGCGCGCGGCAGCCGGCTCAAAGCCTTTCTTAATGTACCCGTGCAGTTATCGGGATGTCTTCAGTCGGGGAGGGGGGGGGCAGCATCAGCCTTTTGTTGTAACTCACCGTTGCAGGACATATTAATGACACATTTTAGATAGATAACAGATGAGCAAAAGCAGATTGGGTATGAACTCGTGTTAATCCTGCAGCGATATAATTGACGTGAATCATAGCAGGAACAATGTGTGATAGAACTAACAAACTAACTGCATAGATGAACAGTATTCCTTCATGAGTGACACCACTCTACCGAGTGACACTGACGCATGAGACCAAAGCCTTAAAACGGACCTAATGTGCATTCAGACGTTAGAGAAACTAGACTATTCTCTTAGTATTTGCACAGCTGGCTCGATGAGAATGTTCCTGAGGTCTATAACAGGTGTGTGATTTTACCGGCGGGAAAATTATACACATTCAAGCAATTAGCCCCTCAAAGTTGTCATCTGAAGCACTGTGCGGCCCACGCATTGTCTCAACGCTTTGTCCCTCCCACCCCCAC